CCCTGCACCCCTGTACCCATGCACCCCTGCACCCCTGCACCCCTGCACCCCTGCACCCCTGCACCCATGCACCCCTGCACCCCTGCACCCCTGCACCCCTGCACCCATGCACCCCTGCACCCCTGCACCCCTGCACCCCTGCACCCCTGCACCCCTGCACCCATGCACCCATGCACCCCTGCACCCCTGCACCCCTGCACCCATGCACCCATGCACCCCTGCACCCATGCACCCCTGCACCCCTGCACCCCTGCACCCCTGCACCCCTGCACCCCTGCACCCATGCACCCCTGCACCCCTGCACCCCTGCACCCATGCACCCATGCACCCATGCACCCATGCACCCCTGCACCCCTGCACCCATGCACCCCTGCACCCATGCACCCCTGCACCCCTGCACCCCTGCACCCCTGCACCCCTGCACCCATGCACCCCTGCACCCCTGCACCCCTGCACCCCTGCACCCCTGCACCCATGCACCCCTGCACCCCTGCACCCCTGCACCCCTGCACCCCTGCACCCCTGCACCCCTGCACCCCTGCACCCCTGCACCCCTGCACCCATGCACCCCTGCACCCCTGCACCCCTGCACCCCTGCACCCATGCACCCATGCACCCATGCACCCATGCACCCATGCACCCCTGCACCCATGCACCCATGCACCCATGCACCCATGCACCCATGCACCCATGCACCCATGCACCCATGCACCCATGCACCCATGCACCCATGCACCCATGCACCCATGCACCCATGCACCCATGCACCCATGCACCCATGCACCCATGCACCCATGCACCCATGCACCCATGCACCCATGCACCCATGCACCCATGCACCCATGCACCCATGCACCCATGCACCCATGCACCCATGCACCCATGCACCCATGCACCCATGCACCCATGCACCCATGCACCCATGCACCCATGCACCCATGCACCCATGCACCCCTGCACCCCTGCACCCCTGCACCCCTGCACCCATGCACCCATGCACCCATGCACCCATGCACCCATGCACCCCTGCACCCATGCACCCATGCACCCATGCACCCATGCACCCATGCACCCATGCACCCATGCACCCATGCACCCATGCACCCATGCACCCATGCACCCATGCACCCATGCACCCATGCACCCATGCACCCATGCACCCATGCACCCATGCACCCATGCACCCATGCACCCATGCACCCATGCACCCATGCACCCATGCACCCATGCACCCATGCACCCATGCACCCATGCACCCATGCACCCCTGCACCCCTGCACCCCTGCACCCATGCACCCATGCACCCATGCACCCATGCACCCATGCACCCCTGCACCCATGCACCCATGCACCCATGCACCCATGCACCCATGCACCCATGCACCCATGCACCCATGCACCCATGCACCCATGCACCCATGCACCCATGCACCCCTGCACCCATGCACCCATGCACCCATGCACCCATGCACCCCTGCACCCCTGCACCCCTGCACCCCTGCACCCATGCACCCATGCACCCATGCACCCATGCACCCATGCACCCCTGCACCCATGCACCCATGCACCCATGCACCCATGCACCCATGCACCCATGCACCCATGCACCCATGCACCCATGCACCCATGCACCCATGCACCCATGCACCCATGCACCCATGCACCCATGCACCCATGCACCCATGCACCCATGCACCCATGCACCCATGCACCCATGCACCCCTGCACCCATGCACCCATGCACCCATGCACCCATGCACCCATGCACCCATGCACCCATGCACCCATGCACCCCTGCACCCCTGCACCCCTGCACCCCTGCACCCATGCACCCATGCACCCATGCACCCATGCACCCATGCACCCATGCACCCATGCACCCATGCACCCATGCACCCATGCACCCATGCACCCATGCACCCATGCACCCATGCACCCATGCACCCATGCACCCATGCACCCATGCACCCATGCACCCATGCACCCATGCACCCATGCACCCATGCACCCATGCACCCATGCACCCATGCACCCATGCACCCATGCACCCATGCACCCATGCACCCATGCACCCATGCACCCATGCACCCATGCACCCATGCACCCATGCACCCATGCACCCCTGCACCCATGCACCCATGCACCCATGCACCCATGCACCCCTGCACCCCTGCACCCCTGCACCCCTGCACCCATGCACCCATGCACCCATGCACCCATGCACCCATGCACCCATGCACCCATGCACCCATGCACCCATGCACCCATGCACCCATGCACCCATGCACCCATGCACCCATGCACCCATGCACCCATGCACCCATGCACCCATGCACCCATGCACCCATGCACCCATGCACCCATGCACCCATGCACCCATGCACCCATGCACCCATGCACCCATGCACCCATGCACCCATGCACCCATGCACCCATGCACCCATGCACCCATGCACCCATGCACCCATGCACCCATGCACCCCTGCACCCCTGCACCCCTGCACCCATGCACCCATGCACCCATGCACCCATGCACCCATGCACCCATGCACCCATGCACCCATGCACCCATGCACCCATGCACCCATGCACCCATGCACCCATGCACCCATGCACCCATGCACCCATGCACCCATGCACCCATGCACCCATGCACCCATGCACCCATGCACCCATGCACCCATGCACCCATGCACCCATGCACCCATGCACCCATGCACCCATGCACCCATGCACCCATGCACCCATGCACCCATGCACCCATGCACCCATGCACCCATGCACCCATGCACCCATGCACCCATGCACCCATGCACCCCTGCACCCCTGCACCCCTGCACCCCTGCACCCATGCACCCATGCACCCATGCACCCATGCACCCATGCACCCCTGCACCCATGCACCCATGCACCCATGCACCCATGCACCCATGCACCCATGCACCCATGCACCCATGCACCCATGCACCCATGCACCCATGCACCCATGCACCCATGCACCCATGCACCCATGCACCCATGCACCCATGCACCCCTGCACCCCTGCACCCCTGCACCCCTGCACCCATGCACCCATGCACCCATGCACCCATGCACCCATGCACCCATGCACCCATGCACCCATGCACCCATGCACCCATGCACCCATGCACCCATGCACCCATGCACCCATGCACCCATGCACCCATGCACCCATGCACCCATGCACCCATGCACCCATGCACCCATGCACCCATGCACCCATGCACCCATGCACCCATGCACCCATGCACCCATGCACCCATGCACCCATGCACCCATGCACCCATGCACCCATGCACCCATGCACCCCTGCACCCCTGCACCCCTGCACCCCTGCACCCATGCACCCATGCACCCATGCACCCATGCACCCATGCACCCCTGCACCCATGCACCCATGCACCCATGCACCCATGCACCCATGCACCCATGCACCCATGCACCCATGCACCCATGCACCCATGCACCCATGCACCCATGCACCCATGCACCCATGCACCCATGCACCCATGCACCCCTGCACCCCTGCACCCCTGCACCCATGCACCCATGCACCCATGCACCCATGCACCCATGCACCCATGCACCCATGCACCCATGCACCCATGCACCCATGCACCCATGCACCCATGCACCCCTGCACCCATGCACCCATGCACCCATGCACCCATGCACCCATGCACCCATGCACCCATGCACCCATGCACCCATGCACCCATGCACCCATGCACCCATGCACCCATGCACCCATGCACCCATGCACCCATGCACCCATGCACCCATGCACCCATGCACCCATGCACCCATGCACCCATGCACCCATGCACCCATGCACCCATGCACCCATGCACCCATGCACCCCTGCACCCATGCACCCATGCACCCATGCACCCATGCACCGTCATGTTCTTCTTCCGCTACAAGCACATCATGATCGACCTGGGCACGGGAAATAACAATAAGATCAACTGGGCGCTTAAGGACAAGCAGGAGTTCACAGATATTGTCGAGACGGTTTATAGAGGGGCGCGGAAGGGGCGGGGTCTGGTGGTGTCGCCTAAGGATTATTCCACCAAGTATAGATACTAGGACGGAAGGGGTGGGATGGGGGCGGGTGGGGGCTGGACTGTCACTGTGGCGCTGTTGAATGATTTATTCACCACAGTGAGAACACAGGCAGGGGCGGGGTCTGGTGGTGTCGCCTCGCCAGCCAACTGACTATTCCACCAAGTATAGATACGGTACCGTGTTGGGAGGGAGGGAGCTGTTACTGTGGTGTCATTAAAGGGTTTGTTGATATGTATATTTTTTTCCACCCAGCTGATTGGTTTAGGTGACCTTTGTTAGAGTGGATTTCTGCACACTCCTCTTGCCACAATGGGATTTGATTAATGCTAATTGGTTATTTATTGTGTGCCATATTCACCATCTAGCGTATGCGCTCATTGTACAATGCAATGATGCAAACATCAAACCGAACCTACCGGTACCCTAGAGGCAGCATCGCTTGCATGTACACACACTACCATGCCACAGCAGCAACCATCGCTTCCTGGATACCAATCAACCTGCAACAGTTGCAGCATCATGCCGGTAACCGCACTTGTGCTTGAGCAGAGTACCACCAACCAATAACTACAGGTTGTTAGCCCAGCTTTGCAGCTTCAGCAGCTGCGGTTGATTGGCAAAAGCATCACGGCTACCATACCATGCTGTGTTCCGCTGTCAGTTGGCCCTCTTGATGTGGTCGGACTGTGATTGCCCTGCCTGTTCTAACGGCTCCAATGGCTGGCCGATGATACGTTCTGTAGCTTAACTCGTTCCGCCTACTGTTCCGCAGCAGCAGGAGCAGCGTCAGCAGTGGGGAGGCGCACCATGACGGCACTGATGTCATCCGTTGACCCCCTCTTCTGTGCCATGCCCACCAGCTCTGTCCCCCACTCTCCACCTCGCCCGCCCCTCCCTCCCCCATTAGCCCGTTACTGCTCAGCAGCAGGGGCGGCATCAGCAGTGGGAAGGCGCACCACCACGGCACTGATGTCATCCGTTGACCCCCTCTTCTGTGCCATGCCTATCAGCTCTGCTGCCACTGCATCCAGCTGTGCGTCGGGCCTGCTTATAAGGGGGATATTTAGTAACAGGGTGACGAGCAATATAAGAGGTCCTGGGCAAGACAATATGAAGCAGCGTGGAAGCGCAATAAGCAAATGAGGTGAGGGAGGAGAATGAGGGAGGGAGAATGAGGGGGGGAGAATGAGGGAGGGAGGGGACAGCACGCATGAACAAACCCCAAGTCAAACCAAGTCAACGCACCCCTGCTTGCGGCACAGGTCAACGGCCTCTTGGCTTTTCACCGCATCCCACAGCCCGTCCGAGCCAATGATCAGCCAATCATCGCCTGCCAGGTCAGCAAGGCACACAAAGAGAGGGTAAGGTCATAGTGAAGAGCAATACGACGTGCGGCATGCGGGGAATGAGGAAGGGGCGGCTTGGCAAGTGAGTGCAACCACCCACGTGTTTGAAGAAGTGGTTTGAGACGTCTCAAAACACTTGTTCAAACACGTGGGGGTGACTTGGCAAGTGAGTGCAACCACCCACGGCACCTGGGTGCCTTTGTCGTGTGTCCCGTGGAGGGAGAGAGTGAGAGAGGGAGAGAAGGAGCGAGGGGAGGCGGCAGAAGGTGAGGACGGTCACATAGGGCTCAGCAGTGAGCCCAGAGCGGCCTTTGAGTCGACGCCGCAAAAGGCAGGATTAAAAGGCGAGAGAGGGAGGCGGCTCACCAGGGGCGAGGGTGAGGACAGTGACATAGGGCTCAGCGGTGAGCCCAAAGTGACTTATGAGTCGACTGTACAGGCAGGGTTCAAAGGCGAGAGAGGGAGGCGGCTCACCAGGGGCGAGGGTGAGGACAGTGACATAGGGCTCAGCGGTGAGCCCAAAGTGACTTATGAGTCGACTGTACAGGCAGGGTTCAAAGGCGAGAGAGGGAGGCGGCTCACCAGGGGCGAGGGTGAGGACAGTGACATAGGGCTCAGCGGTGAGCCCAAAGTGACTTATGAGTCGACTGTACAGGCAGGGTTCAAAGGCGAGAGAGGGAGGCGGCTCACCAGGGGCGAGGGTGAGGACAGTGACATAGGGCTCAGCGGTGAGCCCAAAGTGACTTATGAGTCGACTGTACAGGCAGGGTTCAAAGGCGAGAGAGGGAGGCGGCTCACCAGGGGCGAGGGTGAGGACAGTGACATAGGGCTCAGCGGTGAGCCCAAAGTGACTTATGAGTCGACTGTACAGGCAGGGTTCAAAGGCGAGAGAGGGAGGCGGCTCACCAGGGGCGAGGGTGAGGACAGTGACATAGGGCTCAGCGGTGAGCCCAAAGCCTCCGCGCGCTCCGTCCCTGGTGCCATCGCTCCAGCTGATGTGGGAAGGAGGGAGAGGGCGTGATGTGACGGGATGATGAGGCAATGAGGTGATGAGGTGACGAGACAATGAGGTGTCTCTGGTGCAGCCATTCCAGCTGGTGTGAGAGGGCGAGAGTTGGCAAGAAGTGATGCAATCAGGAGGCCATGAGGCGATGAGGGCATGAGCTGTACCTGGTGCCGGCGCTCCAGCTGGTGGGACGAGCAGGAGAGGGCGTGATGTGATGAGGACATGAGGCAATGAGGACATGAGGCAATGAGGCCAAGAGGACCATGTGGGCTAACGATGTAAGATGCACTGGGAGGTGCGATGAGAGGGTGGCAGGGCAGCGCAGGGCAGGACGTCATTCTAATGAGGTGACTTAGTAATAGAATTAACAGTCACCACCGCGCAAGGCAGGGTAGGGCAGCGGGCACTCCTTGAGGTACTCGTGTCCAAAGAAGTGGAAGGATTCGACCCGCAGCATGCTCTGGTGCCTCCACAGATTCGGAATCAAATCTCAGTTGCTACATTCCATGCGAGTCGCTAGAGCAGACAAAGTAGTAGAGAAAGGACTGCAATGAGTCACTTAGTAAAGGAACTGGTACTGGAGTCGTATGTACCTCACGTTTCGGCCGGACTTATGGAAGGGTAGCGGGACTGACTCCTATGGCAGGGTAGTGATACTCAATACTCACTCCTTGAGGTAGACGTCTCCAAAGGCACGCGAGAGCGCCAGCAGCCCTCCCACCCGCCACTCGCCCCCCGCCATGCGCACCTGCAGTCAGGAGGGCGTGCCGTGACAGGGGGGGGGGCCAGGGGCGGAGTGTGGGGGAGTGCATAACAGATGAGACGGAGTGAGGCAAGCATAGGGGTTGCTTGGTTCAAACCCCATCCGTGCAAACCCCACCATGCGGCATGGCAGCTAGAGGCACGCAGTGACATGCACTGATGGGTCTGAGATAGTAAGGGGGGCAAGGAGCACCTGCCGCAGCAGCAGGTGCTTTTGAGTCGACTCAAACGCAGCAGCAGGTGCTGTGTCTGTTGCAGGGGCCAAGTGAGACGCGCCACAGTCATCGCTCCACAGTGCGCCTGCCATACCAGCCTGCCGAACCAGCCTGCCGTACCAGCCTGCCGTACCAGCCTGCCGTACCAGCCTGCCGAACCAGCCTGCCGTACCAGCCTGCCGTACCAGCCTGCCGAACCAGCCTGCCGTACCAGCCTGACATACCAGCCTACCATACCAGCACCCGCCAGCCTAACATACCCGCAGACTCTCTGCCAGTCGTGCTGACATACCAGTGGTTGTCCGGGGGTGGGGTTCTTGCGCTCGATCCTCATGCGCTCCGCCTCTATGTTGGGCTGCAGGGGGCGAGAGAGCGGGGAGCGGGGCGGTGGGGCGTGGGAAGATGGGAGATGCGGAGATGGTGGGAGAAGACTACTTCTAGTCGACTTAACAGTCTTCTTGCGCTCCATCCTCATGCGCTCCGCCTCTATGTTGGGCTGCAGGGGGGAGAGCGGGCATGGGGGGAGAGGGGATGGGGATTTGAGAAAACGGGGATTGAAGGAATAAGGAGATGGGAGATGGGAGAAAGGAGATGGGGTGGGGAGATGGGAAAATGGGCAGATGGGTGGCCGCCATGTCATCTACCAGGTGTCATGTGAGTGTTGCAGGATGCAGCCCAAACCCCCTTCTGCCATCCCAGTTCCCAGTTCAGACTCACAGTCAAAATGGGAACTCCGCACCCCCCCCCCTCCTCCTCCCACCCACTCCGTCCCCTCCCACCCTTTCCGCCCCCCACCTTGTACTCCTCGCTCAGCTTGACAGGCTCCCCTGCCCGCGACAGGTACGTAGCCGCCCATATTCCCTCTCTGCCTCCCACCCACCCACTCAACATCCACTCACACACCCACTCAGACCCCACCCCTCATCCTTTCTACGCCCCACCTTGTGGTCCTCGCGCCTACCCACGACAGGACGTGGCCCCTCACATTCCCTACTCTGCCTCCACCCACCTACCCACCCACCCACTCAACCCCCACTCACCCACCCAACCACTACCCACTCCCCGCCCACCCTTCCCCCCCCCACCTTGTGGTCCTCGCTGAGCTTGACGGGCTCCCCTGCCCGCGACAGGTACGTGTGCGAGTCACCCACGTTGGCTGCTACCAGCTGGTATGAGCCGTCTGGAGGGAGGGAGAGGGGGAGAGGGAGAAAGACGTGAGAGGGCACGTTCAATCAGAAGGACTTTTCGAGAAAGGAAGAGGGCATGTGAGGGCTGTGGCTGGATTGGAGGGCACATGGGCACTTAGCACCAGGGCACGAGCCCGGTTGGAGTCGTTTTGAGACGTCTCAAAATGAATCGTCATACACCTGGATTGGAGGGCACATGGGCACATGGGCACTTAGCAGCAGGGCACGAGCCAGGTTGGAGTCGGGCAGGGGTAACCAGAAGAATGTTGCGCTCATCAGGAATTACAGCTGTCTGTTGTTTTCACCTGGCGTGAATCGCCGGCCAGCACCTCTCTTGCCTGCACCTGACAGGAAGTAGAACCTCTCACTCACTTTGACCTGGCAGGTGCCGTGCCAGCACTCTGTTGTATTCACCTGGCAGGTGCGGCAGCACTCTGTTGTGTTCACCTGGCTGGGGCAGAATGACAGCGGTGTTGGCGCAGGCGCCGCACTTGGGGCCGCCCATGCCGCGCTCCATCATCATTCCAAAGAACCCCTTGGGGGGCGCCTGGTGGGAGTGAGGGGGGAGAGGGAGGGGGATGGGGGGAGAGTGGTTGTTTTGTGGGGGTATTATCAGAGCGAGGAGAACTAAGATTGCCCTCACAGGAGCCGCACTTGGGACCACCCATGCCGCGCCCCATCATCATTCCAAAGAACCCCTTGGGGGGCGCCTGGAGGGAGGGAGAGGGGAAAAGGAGATTGTGAGGGGGTTATAGGAGAGAGGAGAAAGGAGATTGTGATGGGAGGGAGGCACTCGCAAGAGTCGCACTTGGGGTGGTTGGGGTGGGGCCGCCCATGCCACGCTCCATCATCATGCCAAAGAACCCCTTGGGGGGCGCCTGGTGAAGAGGGGGGGGGGGAGAGATGGGAGGAAGAGGGTGTGAGTGCACTTGGGCCGCACTTGGGGCCGCCCATGCCTCGCTCCCTCTTCATGCCAAAGAAACCCTTCGCGTCTCCTTGAGGAGTGGGAATGAGTGAGGTGGGAGGGAAAGGGAGAGCATTAGATTGGCCCATTGTAGGCATATGTGCAACCCTTCAACTGTAAAACGACTTGCCCGCCCGCATGCCACACCATTCCATACCATCACACCCCCACCTGCGGCACACCATCCATCCACCCCTCACTCTCACCACCAGGGTCCACCTCGCAACCTATGCAGTCACCCTTTGGGTTTGCACAACCCAGAAGCTGTGAATGCACCTGCCCTCACCAGGCTGCTCTCTCCGGGTTGTTGCTCTTGCTCAGCTATATACCCAGTACCTCATGCGCTTGTCTTGCACGCTCACTTACCATAGAGAGTGCTCTTGTCCACCTCCTTATAGGCCCGCGAGTGTTTTTTGAGAATTCTCAGAAAACAGAGTGCTCTTGTCCACCTCTTCTCAAAAAACAGAGTGCTCTTGTCCACCTCCTTATAGGCCCGCACGGTTGCCCTTGTGCCCTTACTCAGCAAATCACCCCATGCGTGCATCCATCTCCTCTCTCACATGCTATTCCTCCCCATCCACCCCTCGTTCTCACCATTCACCTGTAGTTCAGCAATACCCCGTGCCCCATGCCCCGTGCCCCATGCCCCATGCCCCATGCCCCATGCCCCATGCCCCATGCCCCATGCCCCATGCCCCATGCCCCATGCCCCATGCCCCATGTCCGTGTGTGCGGGCTCACTCACCAGAGTGCGCTTGTCCACCTCCTCATACGCGCGCAGCGTCGCCCTCTCCAGACTCGTGCCCTTGCTCAGTGCGGCTGTGGGTGAGGGGGGAGTGCAGGTGCGCGGGTGGGGGTACATGTGGGCAGGGTGGATGGATGAGCACAGGGAGCATGGCATGGAGGTGAGATGGGAGGAAGTTGATTTTTTAGTCGACTCAAAAAATAACTCGGATGGGGGCACATGGGGGCAGGGTGGATGAGGATGAGGACAGGGAAGGAGCATGGCGTGGAGGTGAGATGGGAGGGAGGAATGGGAGGTGACTTTTGAGTCGACTCAATAGTCGCGGGTGGGGGTACATGGGGGTAGGGTGGATGAGGATGAGGACAGGGAGGGAGCATGGCATGGAAGCGAGAAGGGAGGAATGGAGTAATGGGTGGGAGGGAGGGAGCATGGTGAGAGGAGTGATGCAGGTGGGAAGTGGGGAGCGAGAATTGGGCGTGCAGGACAGGGGACGCCAGGGAGGGAGAGGCGTGAGGAACATGCACGTATTAGAATGTAGCAATGGTGAGACACGGAAACGGGGATTCACTTATTCGAGTGTGGCAGGCAGTGGGGAGATGTGGGAATGGGAAGGAACGCATTGGATGAATTGGATAGGTGAGGTTAAAAAAGGAAGGGAGCAGGGATGGGAAGAAGGTAAAACCGCACTGAAACAAGCACGGCACGGCACTCACTCTCAATGGCTTTCTTGTATGCGGGCCACAGCTCCTTCTCCAAGAACCTGGCGTAAGCGCGTGTAGGAGAGAGACAGACAGGCCAAGCCAAACCAAGTGAATGAGTGCGAATCCAGCCTTGCACAGCAAAGCAACCAGCTCGCAGCGCTGCAACTCCCCCAGGGCGTTTCTTCACTGTGCACTTGACACATTTCAACACGCACGCACCCAAATAACTTCTCAGCGCTGCAACTCCGAGGACATTTCAACACGCACGCACCCCTCCTCAGCAAGCAAACGCCCATGTGCCTGTGTGCCCACTCCCAACCATCCAACCCACCACTCACTCGGCGACAGCGGGGCCCCCATGGCTGTCAAACACAGCAAAGAAGGCTTGGCGTTTCTCAGTGCGCACATGCACTACCAACCAACCGCGGTGATGCCCCACACACGCATGCACACCCTCCCACCATCCAGCCCCCCACTCACTCGGCGACAGCAGCACCCCCATGGCCGTCGAACACGGCAAAGAAGGAGGGGCTCTTCTCCCCCTCCACCACCGCCGCCACCCTGTCCTCCATCACTGGCCTCTCCGACCCCTTCACCTTGTGCACGCCATAGCTGGGAAGGGGGGCAACGGGAAGGAAAGGTGGGGAGTGGGGGAGGGGGGTGGGGCGAGGCAGAAAGGGGTGGAAAACACTAGAGTTGGGGTGCCACCCTGTCCTCCATCACCGGCCGCTCCGACCCCTTCACCTTGTGCGACCCGTTGCTGGGGGGAGGGATGAGGAGGAGGGACGGCGCGCAAGTGCATGGGAGGTGCAGACAGCGTGCACGGAGAGAGGAAAGGGCATGTGGAACGGGGTGACGAAACGGATTTGGGCGGGCAGGGACGCGTGGAGAGGGAGAGGGACGCATAGGAAGGAAGGGCTTTTGAGGCGCCTCGAAAGACGTGGATTGGAGAGGGACGCATAGGAAGGAATGGCTTATGAGGCGCCTCGAAAGACGTGGAGTGGAGAGGGACGCATAGGAAGGAAGGGCTTTTGAGGCGCCTCGAAAGACGTGGAGTGGAGAGGGACGCATAGGAAGGAAGGGCTTTTGAGGCGCCTCGAAAGACGTGGAGTGGAGAGGGACGCATAGGAAGGAAGGGCTTTTGAGGCGCCTCGAAAGACGTGGAGTGGAGAGGGACGCATAGGAAGGAAGGGCTTTTGAGGCGCCTCGAAAGACGTGGAGTGGAGAGGGACGCATAGGAAGGAAGGGCCCGGGACGAGTTGAGGGTGGAAGTGTCACGCTGATCTTCCTTGTCCTCCGCCCCCCGCTTATTCTCATCACAGAGACGACCTAGCCCATCCTCTCATCCGCGTGCTCTCAGGCCTTCCTGACCGTTGCCTCTCCCATCTATCCCTGATCAACCATTGTCTCTCCGTTTCTCCATTTTCCCCGTAGCCCATCTCTTTCGCATCTCCTTAGCGCGAGTCTTTCCTTCATATTAGACCTGTCTTCCTCTCTTCCCCACAGCTCACCTCTTTCCCTTCACCAACGCAGCTTGTGGTGCCACGTGGCGGAGAGACGGCCCCTCCACGCCAGCGGGCCTTGCTGACGTGGCATTGGCGCGCAGTGCTGCAGACGGGAAAATGGGAAAGAGGGCAACAAGTGATTAGAACGCATTCTTTCGGACAGCGGGCAAAGGGCAGAGAGAAACACATGCTATGGCCAAAGCTGAGGCGGGCCATATCAGAGATAAGGGAAGGCGGAGATAAGGGAAGGTAATGCGGAGGGCAACGGCGGATGGAATTTCGCCTCAGTGAAGTGCAGCGGGCGTTGCACAATACGCGAGTGCGGGAGATTAGAGCCAGGCCAGTGCAGCTGCTATGAGTGGATGCGATGCGCGATCGCGCTTTGCTGCGACTATATATGTGTCTGGCCATGGTGCGTCGTGATTGCGTACGTGCCTCGCCGTGATGCCTCGTGATATAAGGTCTATGCGTTACGCTTCGCAGTGGCTAGTCCCTCAAATTCCATTTGCCCCCACTCAACTTCACAGGCACACGGCAACGGCAATGCCATGCCGCAAAGTGCCATGCAAGCCAACCCCGTGATGCTCCGCCGTAGCTCACAATCACCACGAGTCAATACGGGGCCGGCGAAGTTAAGTAGGGTTCCGAAGTCGTTTAAGAAACAATTCGTTCAGCGCAAACCGTAGTGGGCTCACCTGATTGGCCGCGGGAGAATGCGCTTGACGAGAGGAAGGGCGCAACGGTCTGCCGTTGAGGCGGCTGCAAGGCGACAAAAGACATCACGGGGAACACGAGTGGCGAGGAGAGCAACGTGAGAGAGAGCGAGCGCAGAGGCAAAGATACACGATGTGTCGAATGCTGGTGACTGGGATAGATGCAATTGTATGGTCAATATACGCGGCAAGAGACGAGATTGCGAGCGAGAGGCAAGGTGAGGGTACAGCGGAAACGGGCTTACTGCTAGGCGCGACTGACGGCCAGCCAAGGAGCTGGCGGAAGCAACAGAGGAAGCAGTAGTGGCAGCCATTGCAGTGCAGCGACTCTGGTGGTGCAGAATGAAATGAATCTCGTGGAGTGAATGTTGGAAACGGTGGTGGGGGAGTGATGTAGTGTGGATGGAAGGGTGAGCAACGAAACGGCCTACGAATGTACAAATCTTAGGGCTAGTAGCCCCGATGGAAAGTTACTACCCTGGAAAGGGCCACCATCTCCGACTGAATGCCCCCCTGTCCGGTGATTGCGGTTCTAGTTACTTTTAGAAAACCCGCTTCTCGTACCAAGCTACGCTTCTACTCCTGGTTTCACACCCTTTTGTCCAATACACTTCATCCAAAAAGATCGGATTCACATTCAGTTGCAATTTGGGTGGCTGTGGTAGCCATACGGTGGTCAGAACGTTTCGAGTATATTTGTCCGATACCCTCCTTCGTCACAACCATCAGCACAGACAACCAGTAGCGTTTCACTCATCCAAGCCAAACTTGGGCTTCATCACGTTGAAATTCGTACATATGACACGTGTCACAATGGATCCAGAACAGTTGGAAACCAGTGCCACATCGGCTTAAACATTTGTCCGTGGCCAGAGATTATCCACCTTGGCAACCCAAACAGCTCATTTTACGTGGAGACATGGATACTCCACATTGCAAAGCCTCGCGAAATACATAACATTTAATTGATGCACACAAGGGCCATAGCACGAATGACACGAATGACAATGACTCAATGTAGAAGGCCGCCATGGCTGCCACCTGGAACTTCGGAGCCACCAATGTCGGTGCTCCACTCTGTTTCACGAGCTGCTAACCAGCTAACCAGAATCGCCTTTCAACGAGGATCACAGCGATATTACATTGGTGTCCAAACAGAGGACATTGCATCGTGTGTTCCCAAGGCATTATCTTGTTTGGTTGCAGTTTTTAACAACAATGACAATGATCCAGGTCCTAAGCTGGTCGCTGAGTCAGCGTTCTGTTATCAGGATTACAATCTCGAGAATGATGACATGGAGCATAAACGATTATCTAAGCTATCGCGACTTTTTTCTTGGGCTTCACAAGTTTCTCATGAAGGCTTTTTTAAGGCGCTCAGTCAGTCTGGCTTTCCAGCACTTTGCTGGTTGTGGTGGCTCTTTCATCATCTCGCCATGCCTCCTAAAGGGAAACCTGGCAAGCCTGCTACCAACAAGATGAACCCTGCTGCTGCTGCTGCTGCTGCTCTTAAGACGCCGGCTTCAATTACCACGGCTCGTCCAACCATGGCCACTGCTGTTCCGGCGAAATCCGCGCGTACTCTGTTTGCGGAGGAGGAATCGGAGGCTCTGACGCTGTCGGCCAAGCTGGCTGCTCTTCGCATTGAGCAAGCTGCTGGAGGGAAGACAGACAATGGCAAAGGAAAGGACGGGGATTTCAAGGACGCCGTCTCTGATGCGGAAGATGATGTTACTGCTGAAGAGGCTGCTGGAGAGTCTTCATCTGGCGCTGCTCGTCGCTTCTGTGTCCTGGATGATGAAGATGATGGTCTCATTGCTCACGACCCGAACGAGGGTTTCGAGGATAAGGCGAAGGAGGAGCTCGCGGCGAAGCTGCGTTTCCCGTTAACGCTGCTGATTCCAAGCGACCGTCTGCAGGAGGTTCGTCGCACGCAGGCAACGATTAAGGAACTGCTGGGAACGACGTGGGGCAATCAGCTCACTGAAAACGCGGCGAAGACGACAACCTTCCAGGAGTTAAATCCGGGCTTTATTGCTAAGCAGTTTTATGGTCGCATGCAAGTGATTTTTGTTGCTGCTTCGGATGCTAACTCTGTTTGGAGGAACCGCATTGAGCACCAGTGTGTGGATGGGAAGTGGATCTTCCTTGATTGGCTTTATCCGGAAGATCCGAGCTACACCAGGCGGAAGGTTACTGACCCGGCGGTGATTGAAGTGCTTTTCTTGGGTGTGGCCGCGGAAATCTCCCCGGAGATGCTCCATGAAGCTCTCGCAGTCTCTCCGCTGAAGATCTGCAAGCGTCCAGCCTTCAAGGCTGGTTTCTGTTTCCATCGTGCGGTGCATCCTGTCTCGGGGCTGGACACAGATCGGGTGAAAGGCTTGGTGGTTGCGCATGAGAATGACAAGTTTCGGTGGCTGCACTTCTTTGAGAGCCCGGTCTCCCCTGGCGAGAGGATTATGGTGCATTACCCGGCGCTGAAGTGTTCGCTGTGTGGGGGGATGCACTCAGTGCACAACCATAATGACTTCGTGACTGAAAGGCAGAACAACATCTCCAAATGGAACCTCACAGTGGGGAGGATCCAGGAGCTCAACGGTAGAGACGACGTCTTCCTTTTATCTTTTCGTATTGTCGCTGCTTTTCCTTGGTCGGCGGTGCCTGATTTCCAGCTGCTTACCTCCCACCCGTGCAGCGGCTGCGACAGTAGCCACGACGACATCCAGGATTGTCCTCAAGGATCCAGCGCTGGTGCTGGTCTCGACGTCAAGCAACAGGGAGGAGTGGGTCTGTTTGCTCGAAAGTTGCGAGAAAGGGAAGGGTACCTCCTTCGAGCAGGCCGCTCATCACGCGCTGTCTCAGCGTCACCTGGGGGGACTGGCGAAGCAGGGTGCTGCCACGCGTGCTCTCAAAGCCAATCTGAGCCTCCGTGTGCTGCGCAAGGAATACGAGATTCAGTGACATGGAGTAGAAGAACGTCAGGGGGTCGGATGTTAGAGCCTCGCGTGATGTATGCCTTGTTCTATAGTGATAACCTTCTCTGTTTCAGTTACCTCCTTTCAGCCCGTGGATGCTTTGGGGCTCCCGCCTGGTTGATTAATGGATAAGCCCTGCCGCCTGTCAATATGCGAGCTCAACGTTAATGGGCTCGGGAGCAGAGGGAAACAGCGGAATTTAAAGAGATGGACAAGAAAGGATGCGGACGTTTTCGTTTTTACAGACACAAGGATCGCCTCAGATCATGAATGCTGGAAAAGGCTGAACTTTCATCACTGCATCGCGGTGGCGAATGCGGAAAGAGCGGGGGGAGTTGCGGTTGTCAGCAATAACAAGCAGCTGGTGTTTGAGAATATAGTTCTACATGCCTCAGGGAGACTTATTCAGGTGGATGTGAGATGGGACACTTACAGCTTCACTATTCTGGCTGCATACTTCCCTGCAAGCGCCTGCAGCCGAGCGGCATTCTTCAGGGAGGTGCTGGAGCCTTTTCTGTCCAACCTGGGTGGCAGGAGCAGGCTCCTCCTGGCTGGTGATTTGAATGTTGTGGAGGACCCGATTCTGGACAGGTCTCCGAGTGGGGGCCCGTGCGAGGAGAATGAAAGGCTGATGCGGCTGTTCGGGAATCTTCGGATGGCGGATGCGTATCGGACACTTAACCCGGGTGGTAGAGAGTACTCTTTTTATGCCCGTGCGACCAAGTCCAGCTCGAGAATTGACAGGATCGTGGTGTCAGGTGATCTGCTCTCATCGGTGACGGCGGCTGCTCACACGCGGTCGCTGAAGGGGATCTCTGGTCACATGTGCGGCATCAGAGTGGTGTTGCAGGCGAATCTGAGGCTGCACATGGGCCCCGGTATTTGGCGGTTGCCTTCTGCGGACACAGCGAAAGCAGGGGTGGCGAAAGTGATTAGAGCGGTTATCGAAAAGCACCGTGCAGGGAAGTCAAGCACTTTCGGGATCTTACTCACCAAACTCAAGGCGGCGCTCAGGAGATACGCGACGGAGGAACGGAAAAGGGTGAGAGCGACCCTGAGACATCTGGAGCTGGCGGTCTCTGGTCTGCAGCAGGTGGTAATGCGGGAACCTCACCGGGACGACCTAAGGGTGGTTCTTCTGGAGAGGGAAGCCCAGTTAGCGGCGTATCTGAAAGGGGAAAACGAGAGACTGCACCTTCTCGCGGGGGTAAAGGAAGAGACGAAGGGTGAAATTGCGTCGAAGGTACTCTCTGGGAAGGTGAAATCCAAGAAGACGAGGACAATGATTCCTGCTCTGACGGTGCAAGGGGTCGAGCAGAGGGGGACGAAAGGGATCTGGAGGCTGCTTCGGGCTTCTACGCTGCACTGTTCGCGAAGGCTCCTCCGTCTGGCCTTCCGTGCTGGAAACCTGAGGTGACCAAGCAGCGGAGCTGGACGCTGCTTGGTCAGAAGAGGAGATAAAGGCGGCGCTGGGTGGTATGGCGCGAGACAAGTCTCCAGGAAATGATGGACTGCCGAAAGAGCTCTTCGAGCGGCACTGGGACCTGTTGAAAGAGGATTTCATGGGTTTCGTTAAAGGATTTGAAGAGACGGCGGTGCTCCCGGAGGAGGTACAGGAGGCAGTGACCATCCTGTTGCACAAGAAAGGCCCGAAGGAGCTGGTGCAAAATTATAGGCCGATCACCTTGTTGACAAGCTCCTACAAGGTGGTGGCGAAGCTGCTGGCGAATCGCATGAAGAAGGTCCTGGGAACGGTCATCTCGAAGGAGCAGCATGGCTTCCTTCCTGGTCGGCGGCTCTCGGATGCGGTATCGATGGTGGCGGACGTGATTGAAGCTGCGAACAATGATAGTGAGGACTGGTACTTGATGATGGTGGATTTCCAGAAGGCCTTTGACTCTGTGTTGCGGTCCTTCCTGTTTGACACGATGGCGCTGATGGGGTTTCCGGAAAAGTTCATCGGCTGGTGCAGGGGCCTGCACGGGGGATCTTTCACGCGCCTCTTGATCAACGGATGGCTGGGCGATCGAGTCGATGTCTGCAAGGGGGTCCGCCAAGGGTGTCCTCTTGCGCCGTATCTCTTCCTGTGCGCGGTGGAGCCAATCTGCCAAGAGGCAAAACGCAGGAAGTTAGGCATTTGCGATGATCATGGGGACCGCCTGGCCTACCTCGGATACGCTGACGACACGACTCTGGTGCTGAAAGGGAAGAGGCAGATTGGCCGGGCAGAAACGCTCCTGGAGGAGTTTGAGGCTCGCTCGGGCCTCCGGGTGAACAAGGACAAGTCGGTGATCTTACCGCTGGGGAAAAACCTGGAAAAGGGCAAAGACGGGGAGTCAGACTTCACGTGGATTGAACCCAAAGAAGCAGAGAGGTTACTGGGGGTCTGGGTGTCTCCGTCTGGAAGTGCCGAGGTCACCTGGGAGAAGACACTGGCCAGGGCGGCGGAGGAGCTGGTAAACTGGCACTCGCAGCACCTTACCACGACGGCAAGGGTGGCGGTGGTGAACGCCTATGTCTGCCCGATTCTCGCCTTCCAGGGTCAGGTTTACCCGCCGTCGGAGATAATCTGGAAGCACATCATGAAGCTGTTAGTGAACTTCATTTCTGGGAACCGGGCGTCCGAGGATCATCACTTCTCGCTGTGGAGCAGGGAGCTGATCTTCAGGCCGAGGAAGGATGGTGGTCTGGGAGTGCGCGATCCCTTCGCTGAACTCAGCGGCCTGGCGGCCAGAAGGGTGGGAAAGTTTGTGCTGTGTGACAGGGGAATCGGGAGATGGTTGGCGAAGAAGGCGGCGGATCTCCCCGCGGGCTTCCGCTCCTTTTGGGCGCATGAGGACTTCCTGAAGGATTGGAAGGGGCGGAGTGAAAGGTGGAAAAGGACGTGCGAGGCTTTCATGAAGTCCAAGCTAGCGAAGGAAGGTCCGAAGTCAAGGTGGGACATCGCGCAAGAACCGCTGCTGTTCAACCGCCAGGTCCTGCCGAACGGGAAGAAGCCGTTAGGCCGTCAAAAAGCGGCGGATGGACTGGAGCTGGTTCAGCTGGGTGACTTCATCAGCTGCGCAGAGGATGGGAGATGCTCGTTAAAGAGTGAAGAGGTTCTAACCAGGGAGCTGGGCACAGTCAAGAAGGTGAGGAAGGCGCTAAAGATTTTTGGGTGTATTCCGGACGCGTGGAAGGAGAAACTGCTGGCGCCTATCACGGGGAACGAGCTGCTGGAGGCGTCGTCACATGTGAAAAAGAAAGGCGCAGTGGGCGTCTGGAAGGTGGACGAGGTGGTGCAGGGAAGACTTGCCTGCCGAGCATGCGATTGTTTTGGGGAGCCCCTGAAAGGGACTGCGGAACAGTTGTCAGTTTTCGACCTGAACAAAGTGGAGCCGTTGATGATTCGAGAAGGAAAGGTGATCGGGGTGTGTGGCCTGCCGGAGGTTCGGTTACGCTGCTCGGAGCTATGCGCAGGCGGGCAGCTACCCCCTTTCAAGCAGCTGAGAGGGTTGTTTGGCGCGCAACACGGTGTGATGCTGCAACAAGAGAAATGGGCGGAAGAATGGGGGTGTGCAATTGACTGGAAGAGGGTAATCAGAGTGCGGGACTCCGCGGTGCTCCCGAATCGGGCTCGCGATGTGCTGCTTCGGCTGCACTGCCGGAACCTGCAAGTTGGGGTGCGGCTGAAGTTTCTGGAAGGTGTGGCTTGTCCGCACTGCGGGGGGGTAGAGTCGGCGGAGCACTGTTTGTTCAGCTGCCCCCGCATCCAACCAGTGGTGCAGGGACTGCTTAAAGCTCTCCGCCTTCTCAACCCGGGAAGGAAAATCTCGTCGCTGGGGGACCTGCTGTTTCAAAAAGAAGGTTCAGGGTCAGGATTTCCGGAGACAACTCTCACCGCTATCGCTTTCCACAAGATCTGGGTGGAAAGATGTGATGCAGCTTTCGAAAGGGGTCGGTTTCGGTCCAGGAGGGTGCTACGCAGGATCGCGGCCGCCTTCTACACACACACAAAGGTTTATCTACGGGCGAAGAAAGGGTGCAAACGGGCAGACGCGATGCTGGTGCCGGGGCAGCGCTCTCTCTTGGAGCGGCTGGATCCGGACGAATTCCGGATGCTGGGCAGGGTTTGTGACAGCTCAGCAAGAACGCTTGCGTGGACCAGTGGCTTCACCTCCATCTGGGCCAATCCGCGCACTATTTTCCATCCCCCATAAAGTGTCAGGATGGGTACGATAGCCGGCTGCTATCCATGCCCATCGGCTACAGTTACGACTGTTAATGCTTGTATGCACTGCTATAGTGGATCTTGCGTTGCCAAAAAAAACAAGAGGCGACTAAGTCGACCTAGGGTTGCGAAGCATTTTACATAAGTTACATAGTTTTACACATATTCCAAGAATTGTAAAATGAAACTTGATGAAAAATTGTAAATTGAAACTTGACCTAGCAAGTTTTCAAATTTATTAACAGCGAGGCTCGAACTTGGGACCTTTCGATTATGTGCCGACATTCGATCGACTACATAAACAGTGCTGTACAGCGTATGCAAGTTACTTTATATTCTTTCAATTAACGCGACGAATCTGATACTGCCTTAGGGTTTGGTCGTTCCCTTTTTCTCTCCCTCCCTCTCGCCAGTCACATGCTCCCGCTAGTCCCGCTACTCCACCTACTAGTGCTAAGGTTAGATCATTTAGAACTAAGCGATTACGAATTAGATTTACCTTCTTGATGGCTTATCCTAATCGATTTCTCTAGATTTTTCCGTTCTTTAGGGATGCACGTTGTTCATGCTTAGGTTCAAGGCTGCTTGTACAGATTTAAGCTTTAGGTCGTTTGCAAGCCTGGATGTTTTCTTTAGTTTCTCATCGTCCCTTTCCTCTGTTGCACCCTTACTACATCGAAATTGCTATGTTCATTGACGTTCTTACGTCCTTACCTCTTATGGTCTTGCTGCGTAGATTTGAACGCGTAACCTTCTTTGGCTTAGTAGAGAGATAGTTACTAACCATTTTGACCGAGAAACAGGTTGTTCTTAATTTGTGATCTTTCCTTATTGCCACCAACCCCCTCTTGTCTTCTCCATTCCGTTTCTGAGTTCTATCTACCATTGCCGTTCAGTTTTTATTCCAATCAGTCATGAGCTTCTCATTCAATGGGCGCTCTCTTTAATTATGCACAATCATATTGTAGCTAGGTGAGTCCTAACTTCTTTAAAAACTCCATCACATCTAAATCGTTTGCATGCATCTCTCATTTGTTCTCTTATCCGTTCATCTTTCCGTTTCGACCTTAACGTTAACCTTATTCGCTAGCCACAAACTTCTTTTTGTTTTCGTTCTGTTGCACACAATATATATTTGTCTTGTTTCTCTGATCCTTTCGATTTTGTGTTTCAACTCTTTCCTATGCATTCTTTAGCGTGTTCGTTCTCCGGTTATTGTATTTCTGCTCCATGTGACTAGTTGGTCTTTTTTACTAAACATTTATATTCATTAGATGTGTCGAATCAGTTCAGATTTCTATGCATTTTTGTGGTATGCATCTTATTCGATTTGTTCCCCTCCCACCTCTCTCCCCCCCTCTTCCCCCCCAGAGACTTTGCTGTATCATTCGAAAAGTCAAGGCTAATGTGGAAAGTAGAAAGATTCTTGTTTGTATGATTGATGCTACTGTATTGTTATGTTAGATTTCTTTTAGGTTTTTTTTTTATTGTGTCTGGATTTGTGTGTGTGCATGTCAGTATGCGTGTCTGTGTGTGTGTGTCTCTGTATGCACACTCATCCATATGCATTTATCATTGCATTAACAATGCGCATCTGTGAATTTCAAAAAAATGGTCAACCTGTTAAATCCGAGAAGGTTCTTTGCCCACTCAGTGAGTGTGTTCACTTGAACTGGATTTGATAGATCTTGATCATTTTTTTGGTTTACACAGATTGTGTTGTTTCATGTAACAGTTGGATGATTCAGGAACTATGCTATTGACTTCCCCCCCATGCTAGGCAGGGGATGCGGTAGCATAGGGTCTGGGTCAATTAACTGTTACGCACTTCCATCATGGTATGCATTAATTTCACTAATCTGGATTTATACCAAGAATAGACTACATTTACCATAATAGCATATGCATAATATTTATGCATTTTGCATTCAATATTAAGTTGATCATTATATTTCATCTATGCATAACACTATCTAGCATCCGCATTACGGAATAAACCGTCAAGCATTCATAGTAACATCATTTAGCAACCGTCATAGACAACTAGGAAATGAGAACGAATGTGGTACGGCACGTGCTAAACTGCGTGGCAAATACATACGGTAGCAATTCGTCCGTTACTTTGCTACCGTTCACTATTTTTTTTTTTCATCCTCCTTTTTTAAAGAATGGAGTATGAAAAAAAATTGTTCATAACGATTGTAATAGGTTGCTTCGCAACCCAAAAAAAAACATTTAATTTGGATGAAAATGATACCTTTCACTTATCAAAACATTATGTACAAAATCTCCTCCAACTTCCCCTTTCGTTCGCCTTCTTCTGTTCCCTTCTTTTGCCCTCTTTTCGCTCCCAGGCCATCCCCCTCCTTCCACCGCCTTCCCCATTTCCCGCATTCCGCCTCACAAACTGCACAACCCTCGCACACGCTTTCACCCCACCATCTGTCCCTTCTGCTCGTTCCGCCAATCCCGCCGCCACATCCGCCATTGGGTCCGCTTTTCTTTCCATCTCCACACTTTTTTAAGCCTCCGCATCCATCGTGCCACGTGTCGATCCGCCGACCGACCATCAAAATGCAGCGCGCACCAGCAGCCGCCTTCGCGCTCGTCAGATCCGCCGTCCTGGGCCACGTGCGGCTACCCGTGGCGCCCTCCTTCTGGTCACGCGTCGGCAGCGCGCCGGCCGGCGGAGCCCCGAGCCGCGGGTTCGCGGAGTCGGCTGGCACTTACCTCGACAAGGACGCGGTCACGGAGCGCGTGCTGAACGTAGTTAAGAAGTTCCAGAAGGTGGATCCGAAACTGGTAAGATCGCGATGAATGACGGCGGCACGCTTGTCGCGGCGTTGAGTTATTAAGGTTGTCGTGGTTCGCGTAGCTGTCTGTGTTCGTTCGAATTTGAGGATGCGCTCGCATCGATCAACAAAGGTTGCGTGCACGGGGCGCCGAGTTGACGCCATCGCTGTGTGATTCACCCGCGTGTCTTGGTGCTGGGCGGGAAGTGACTTGATCCCGCAGATTCGGCGCGCATTCGAGTCGCGCCTGCGTGTCTCCGCCGATGCGCCTGCGTGCGGCATAAGGCCGTAAGATGCATGGTTCGCACCTACTTGCGGCTTTCGCTGCGGGAACGGTGGTGACGATGGGGAAGCGGAGCGGACGAGTGGGAAAGTGAGGTGTGTCAGTGAGTGGTCAGCCTGTACCTTTTGGTCCTCACCGCCTTTCCTTCCTTTCCTCCCTCCCTCTCTCACTGTCCCTCTATCCCTGTAACCCCCACTCATTCGCTCTCCCTCCTCCGTTCTTCCCTCTGTCCCCCGTTCCGCATTCCTCTCTTTTTATTCCCCCTGGCACTTGAGACTCCTATGGCTCATGTCATCTGTGCTCCTGCCATCTCCTCTCATCATCTTGTGATCATCCCGTCGCCATTCCATGTCCACCCGTGTTCGTCCCATGTGCATACCCTGCTGATCCCCCATGCATGTGACCCCTGTGGCGCACTTTCAAAACGACCCGGGGCTGGCGCTGGACTGGGTGAAGGAGGTGGTTCCATAATGTCATTCCTGCCGTCTTTTCCCCAATATGCCTCGTGTAACCATGTGTCCACTCAGGTTACCCCCGCCGCCCACTTCCAAAAGGACCTGGGGCTGGATTTGATAGACGGGATGGACGTAGTGATGCCATGATGCCGTTCTTGCCCCCTTCGCCCCTCATGCCATGCTCCATGTACATACCGTGCTGAATCCCATGCAGCTGACCCCAGCTGACCACTTCCAGAAGAACCTTGGCCTGGACCTGTTAGATGGGGTGGAGGTGGTGATGGATTTTTTTTGGGTGCTTAAAACATCATCTTTTGTATCTGTGTGCCTGTGCAGGTGACCCCCACGGCGAGCTTCCAGAAGGACTTGGGGCTGGACTCGCTAGACGGGGTGGAGGTGGTGATGGCGTTTGAGGAGGAGTTTGCTGTCGAGATCCCCGATGCTGATGCCGATAAAATCCAATCCTGTGCCGATGCTATCGCTTACATTGCGTCGCACCCACAGGCCAAGTGATGCGCGCATGCAGATGAAGCAGTGCCTTGAATAATTAGGTCTGTAGCTCTTGTAAAGTGGCTGAAAAAAACTTGGTCTGTTAACCTGGTTTCATGGATGCAATGACCGGTAGCTGGTTGGGGGTTGGTTGTTACGTCATTTCGTTGTTGATAACATATTTGCCCCTACACCCCATCTAAAATCCACTTGGGGGTGTACCAGGCCACACCTGCAATGTACAGGGACCAAGACACCAGGTCATTATTGCTGTTTTTGTCTTCTCTGATTCGCTCTCATCTCACAGGCAGTAGCAGAGTGGGTATCTTGAACTTAACAATAAAAAAGCAAGTGTACTACGGTATACTCTAAACACAACGAGTGAACCTAAATTCGTGTCCGAAACCCTCATCCCATTCCGTCCAGCAAATCAGTTCGCTGATGGTCAATGCCAGCGATACTCTGCAGTTGGTGCTCGATGGTCCCAAAAGGTTCCAGAGGACACGTCAGATTCCCCCAGCCCCACCTTCCAGAGATCTGACGTGCCAACATTGATGGCAAAAACAAGGCCACGCGGTTGGCATTCGTTCCAGGAATGGGGCACGCTGAAGCGGAACATCCACCGTGGCGCTTCAGTTACACAGCCACGTCTCACGATGAATTTCTGCTTCCATTCTGGTATCCAGCTCCCGTCCTGCTCGACAGTCAATTTCAATTAGCGGCTTGGTAAACACATAAATCCGCCTGCGTAACCTATTCTCTCCATCCCAAGTTGATTACCTGCCTATTATCACGATTACATAATCTTTGACGAGCTACTATCACGTTTCCAATATTTATCTCAATGGCTTCCTCCCTCGTCGCACACCTTGCTCGCCGCTCTTTCCTTCAGCGCAGCAGTGAAGGGCGCTTCTCTCTCCGCCAATCGCCTAGCAGTAGCTCCCATCGTCGCTCCCCGCGGACTCGGCGTGACCGCCCTCCTCGGCTTCAATAAGGCCGCCGTCCCCGCTAAGACCGCCCCCGTAAAGAAGCAACTGCGCACCGAGGATGGCATCTTCGGCACATCTGGCGGCTTCGGCTTCACGAAAGCCAACGAGCTCTTCGTGGGGCGCGTGGCGATGCTCGGATTTGCGGCGTCGCTGCTGGGCGAGGCGGTAACCGGGCAGGGAATCCTTTCGCAACTGAACCTGGAGACGGGCATCCCCATCACGGAAGCCGAGCCGCTGCTGCTCTTCTTCATCGCATTCACCGTGCTCGGTGCCATCGGCGGGCTGGGCGACCGCGGGCGATTCGTGGACGACGAGGCGCCAGCGGGTCCGCCGGTGAAGCCGGGGAGCGTGAAGGCGGCGCTGGGGTTGAGCGAGGAGGGACCGCTGTTCGGTTTTACCAAGGCGAACGAGCTGTTCGTGGGGCGCATGGCGCAACTGGGGTTCGCGGCGAGCCTGGTGGGCGAGGTGATCACCGGGCGAGGCGCGCTGGCGCAGCTGAATATCGAGACTGGCTTGCCCGTGTGGGAGCTGGAGCCGCTGCTGCTCGCCAGTATCGCCTTCTTCCTCATCGCCGCTATCAACCCCGGTACAGGGAAGTTCATTAACGATGACGAGTAGAGCCGCTCGTAGCATCTGTACATAAATACCGTAAAGGTTAAGTTTTTTCTCATGTATACAATGAATTGAATTCTCATGTACACAATCAACTACAGTCAAACATGCATTCTGTTATGCATTTTATTTGACACATAGAATACGTGAGCGTCGGACGAGATTGAGTTGCTGGTGAGTGTTCGAATGGTTGGCAGTATGGTGATACATGCCAACAGACATACCGCTGCCATGCAATCGCACACATCATCCCATCCCATGTCACAATAAACCCCATGACGTCGCACATACACCTAATTCCATCACACCCCGCGTGATGCACCAGGTTTATAATCACACACTGAAAGATCTAGCGATGGCATTAATCGGCGCCGCGAACGGTATCAAACGGTTGGGCATCACTGCCCACATCCGGCTACCTCAGTCACAAACAGCACACACCTTCCCATACCATCATAGATTGGATGTTAAGCCTTATCACTCGCTTACCATCCCATTCCATCACAGACAGAGCATTACATTGGACTTCAAACACAATGCAATGCCCTCATACAGCCAATATTAGGCCATCTCATGCACACGCATCATCGCATGCCATCATACTTTCATGTCATCTCACTCATAAACACCATCCCATACCATCACACAGCCCATCTCATGCCACCTCATTCGCACACCATTCCATGCCATCACACAGGCCGATTCATGCCAACTTACTCATATACCACACATACAATCACATACAATCACATACAATCACATACCATCACACACCACAACATACAATGACATACCATCACACAGCTGACTTCATGCAATATAACTCACTCACACCATCCTAGTATTCCATTTAAGAGCCCATGTCATGCAATATCACTCACACACCATCTCATGTCACGCAGACAATTTCATCCCATCTTACTAACACACACCATCCGATGCAATCACACTCCCCATGTCATGCGATCTCACTCACACGCCATCCCATACTATCACAAAGCCGATATCACGCCATATTACCCACACATTATCCCATGCCATCACACACACCGTCCCATATACACATCATCCCATACCGTACCACCGCAAAAGCCTCATGCCATATCACTCGCACACGATTCCGTGCAATCACATACATTTTCCCATCCCATCACACATATAATCCCATGCAATCACTCACACCATCCCGTAACTTCACTCTCACCTTCCTATGCCATAACACAAACCGTCCTCTGACCTTATATAATCCTCCACACCCATGCCAACGCTCACACCATCCATCCCCAGAGCGCAACATGATGCCTTCGTCCCACAGTGCCTCTCAGGGAGGTGCTCTCAGGTGTGTGCTCATGCGGTGGTGCAGATCAGTTTTCATGAGGTGGGGCAGATGAGTTTTGATGCGGTGGTGCAGATGAGTTTTCATAAAGGTGGGGCAGATGAGTTTTCATGAGGTGGGGCAGATGAGTTTTCATGAGGTGGGGCAGATGAGTTTTCATGAGGTGGGGCAGATGACTTTTCATGAGGTGGGGCAGATGAGTTTTCATGAGGTGGGGCAGATGAGATTTCAGCTTGTGGAGCAGAGGAGTTCCCAAATGGAGCAGGTGTGTGCTGAGACGGTGGGGGGGATGTTATAGTGAGCTAGACTGCCTAGTTAGACCACAGCCTGGCATCACCAGTGCCGCCAAGTCTGGAAGCTCATCATCCATTAGCTGTCCCATTTCTGTGAAATTGAGCAGTTGTATTCCCGTCTGTTTTATGTGAAATGTGGCTACGTTTTTTCTTTTGTGTGTTTGTATGTGTCTTGTTTCTGCCCATTTGTGATTGGTGCACCTCTCACTCCATCCCATTTCATCCCATCCTATCCCTACCCATCCCATCCCAACCATCCTATTCCATCCCATCTGACCCTATCCCATCCCATGACACCCCTTCCCTTTGCATCATCCCATGCCGTCCCAGCCCATCCCATCCCATCCCATTCCATCCCATCCCATCCCATCCCTACCCATCCCATCCCATCCCATCCCATCCCATCACATCCCATCCCATCCCTGCCCATCCCATCCCATGCCATCCCAACCCAGCCCGTCCTATCCCGTCGCATCCCATCCCATCCCATCCCATCCCATCCCATCCCATCCCATCCCATCCCATCCCATCCCATCCCATCCCATCCCATCCCATCCCATCCCAACCCAACCCATCCCATCCCATCCCATCCCATCCCATCCCATCCCATCCCATCCCAGCCCATCCCTACCCATCACATCCCAACCCGTCCCATCCCTTCCCATCACATCACATCCCATCCCATCCCATCCCATCCCATCCCATCCCATCCCATCCCATCCCATCCCATCCCATCCCATCACATTCCAGTCTCCGTTGCTGATTCCTCACCTCAGCTGCTTACATCATTCCCAAGGGTCCCGTTCTCTTCCTCTCACGCTTTGCTTGCTATGTCACTTGCCATCTCGTTTGCCATTTCAGTTGCCATTTCAGTTGCCGTTTCAGGTGCCATTCTGTTTCCATCTGAAATGAGCATCTCAGGTGCCACCTCAATTTCCATCTCCGTTGCTATCGGTTGCGATCTCAGTTGCCTTTTCAGTTGCCGCCAAAGTGCCATCTGAAGTTGCAAATGGAGTTGGCTTTCTTATAGTGCCTTCTCACTTGCCACTTCGTTGCTATCGCACTTGCCATTTCGATTGCGATCGCAGTTGCCTTCTCATTCGCAATCTCAGTTACCACCTCAGTAGCCTTCTCAGTAGCCAATTCAGTTGAAATCTTAGCTGCCATTTCGCTTGCCATTAAAGTTGTCATCACAGTTGACGTTTCAGTTGGCATCTGAGTTGCGATTTGAATTGCATCACTTGCCATCTCGCTGACCGTTTCAGTTGCAATCTCACCTGTCATCTCAGGTTATGTGCTGCCATCTCGCTTGCTTTCTCACTTGCCATCTCCGCCATTTCCTGCTTGCCAATTGCTGCCTGCTTGCCATCTCACTTGCTCTTTCGCTCCTCACCAGCACGGCAGCTGGTTACCAGCAATACGCCCATGTGAATCGCTCTCTTTTTCTCTCCGAGCTCCCAACGCTCTGCCCTCCTCGTCTGCTTGCCCTTCACTCACCCCCTCGCATTCACTCCATTGACTCTGCTGCTTCCGTTCCCTCCCCTCCTCTCAACATAACACCCCACTCTCACTCCTCATCTACTTCGCCTCCCCAATTGGGAAACGATCTCTCATTCCCGAAGCCCTTGCTGCCCTCCATCCGAGGTTCTCAGCTACATCACCCAGCCCCATGCCTTGCATCTGCTATGCGAGCCATGCAGCCATGCACCTATGCACTCATGCACCCATCCACCCATGCACCCATCCACTCATGCACCCATGAACCTCCCACATCCATGCAAGCACCCACACACCGATGCACCCACACACCGATGCACACTTATGATTATGTGTTTCATCAATCCGCCCAATACCTTCCTTCTGCTATGCACAGAGGCACCCATGCATCCATGTATCCATGTACCCATACATCCATGCACCCATACATCCATGCACCCATACATCCATGCACCCATACATCCGTGCACCCATGCATCCATACACCTATTCATGCATGCACCAATTCACCCATGAACCCATGTACACACGTTCCCATACAGACACAGATGGAGGATAGTGGTTCATGTTAGTGGTGTCTTCATTTTAGTGGTGTCTTCATTTTAGTGGTGTATTCATGTTAGTGGTGTCTTCATGTTTACTACAGCAGCCCAGAGCTATTGTTTAGCAAATTAACACTTCATCCTCCAAGATCCTCTTCTCTGAAGTTCTTAATCAATCAATGTACCAGATGACATCATGCGTGATAAAGCAGCTGGCTGGACACTGTTCCATTCACAATCTACCAATATACACTTCATGGTCCGTGTGTGAAAGTACATTAGTAATGGCCCAGTGTAATGGTGCAGTAAAACACTGCTTCTTGGTGTGGTGCTGCACTGTTTCCACCCAGAGAAAACAGAGGGTTTATAATTCAATTCACTTGCAGATTACAGTGTCCTAGTGAAAATGCTTAAAAATGTCCTACTAATGTAACCTGTCCTGCTAATATACAGTGCACATAGCGCTTCCTACACATCATCACATATTCCCAACAGCAGCTGGGAGTTGTTCTATTATTGAACCAGTATTGTACCATGACCCACGTATGTACAGCCAATGTTACTCTGGGATGTTCACATGCTGGGAGCAGGCAGTGCACTGAGGGCTCATTCAGGAGCTCCTTCTGTGCGCCCTGCTGCTGCTGCAGCATGGCCCCGCCTGCCTCTCATGCACCAAACCCTCTCTCCTCCCCGCCTGCTGCTTCACCCCCTCACTGCCACACACGCCACTTGCCACTGCTCTGCCACCTGCTGCCTTCACACCACCCTGCCTTCCACCTGCTGCCCTCCCTGCTGCTCCCTCCCCACACCCACCCTCCTCTCTCCTCTTCACCCCACCCGCTTGTCTGCTTCTGGCATTGTTAGCTGCTCTCACTGATGTTGCAGCACCACGTGATCCTGCAACTGCTACCGCTGGTGCTGCACATGTAGCAGAGCCTGCATGCGTGCTGCTGCCCTTGCCACCCTTCACACTCGGGCTCACCGCCTTGCTGCTGCACCCATTCTTGTCCTTCGCACTTTCAACCCCCACCTTGCACCTTGCTGCAACAGCAGGCTTTGGCTTCTGTGCTGCTGCTGCCGCTCCTTTCACTGGTGATACCGCAGCAGTTGATTTCACTGTTGTTGTAGCTGCTGGCGAGGGAGCAGCTGGAGCCGCGGACACTGCTACAGCCGCTGCTGCTGCAGATGCAGGAGGCACGGTTTTGCGAGTCAGCTTCGCCACAGCATCAGGATGCTTGGGCACGAAGCAGGTACGCAGGGCGGCTTCAATGGCCGTTTCAATCTCCATGGCCCATGATGGCTCCTTGCTCAGCTTGTCCCATCTCAGGTAAGCAGCACGTGTCATTGCAATATCCATTGCTCGAACCTCCTGACGCAGCTTCGACCACCTCCCTTTCTCACTCGGATCAGCAGCACCTGCAAACGCCTTCTCGGATATTGTTTTTGTTGTCACACTCGCTTCAGCCACCTGCGGTGTGGTTGAAGCCACTGCAGCCACAGGCGCTACCTCAGGCACCACCACAGGCGCAACCACAGCAGATGGTGTGACTACAGCAGCAGCAGATGGTGAGAGGGGGGCAGTGACGATCACAGGAGCAAGCACGGCAGCAGCAGGCTTGCCTCCGAAGCGGCCGATTCCAGGCCGCTTCACATCAGGTGCGTCAGCTACGTACGACTTGTTGGGCTTGTGCTGGCCGTCAGCGAGGCCTTGGAAGGGCGACGCATGCATGTGCTTCGCCAAATTCTCCAGCAGCGGCCTCACGCTCTTCAGAAGCACGCTGCTGCAGCACGTCTCACTGTCGCCGTTGAGAGCAGCAGCAGGAAGTTGGAAATCAGCTACCTTGTCAATGGTAGGCTTCACAGGAGAGTATGATGCTGTAGGCGAGAAGACCGTTCGAGGCGTGCCGAACCTGCCAATGCCTCGGGTAGGCGTGGCAGGACTTGATGTTGAAGAGCCCGAGTTGAAGGTCTTCGCCGCTCCGTTGTTAACGAGGCAGCAGTCCATGTTAATAGACGGAAGATCGCTTCACAGAAGCTTGGAACGAGGACAGCAACAAGATCTGAAAGTTGTGACTGTTGAGGTTTCAGTAGAGGACGACCGGGGTTACTGGATGAGCAGATCCTGTCCATTGGAGTTTCACCCTCAACTTGGCTCGCTGGCCGCTGCGCTGCACGCCACGTCATATGCTTTCAGAGTGGTTCGAAATAACAAAGAAGGTTCGCCGCAGCCATTCTCGAGGCGGCTACGATTGGGGTTTCAGATTCGTGCTTCATCGAGGCGCCTGAGCTACGTTCCCGCCAACTTTTGAAACCAACGGACCGCCAGCGAAGGCGAAATATTTCGCAAAGACATGGCACTGCCGCACGCGACGGATCTGGCGAACGAACAAACGTTCTTTGGTTCGGGATACAGTTACGTGCGTAGTCGAAACGCCTCATTTCGTTGGCGCTACCTTTTCGTCGCAAGCCATCTGGCAAACCGAATCTGGTACCTGCGAATGTTACCATGATTGTTACTAGCTAGTGTTACTGCGACAGTCACTACTGACGAGCATTTCGAGCCTTCGTAACGTACTGAACGAGCGCTGTGCGACGGATCTGGGCGACAGATCCGCCGCTGAAGGTGGAAGTTGGGATTCTGGCTGGCTCCAGCTGGAAGGCATTGGGAGTGCCGGGGAAGGGGTACTAGAGCTGAATTGATACCCTTTATTGAGTCACTTCGATGACTCTGTCAGAAGGTTTAGAAATCACATCCCGCTGCTCTAAAACCATCACACCAAAACAAGATTGATAGTTTGCTTATTGTAATAAGAGGTAACGTTTCTGCCACTCATAGATTACCTAAGCGTTTAATTGAATTGCTGGTAAGTGGTTCAAAAATTGTTCTCAACATGGCCATGCCAACAGACACACCTCTGCATGCAACCAGATCATCCCATCCCTATTGTAAGGAAAATTCCTTTTCCTTACTTCGCGTCCCCGCTCAGCGCGTACACCACTGTAGCACCACAGTTAGCACCGTTACCACTCGCAACCCTCGCATCGACAAATCCTCCCGCCGCCTTCGCACGTCGCACCCCAACCTCACGGCTCGGCGGGTAACCCGCGCTCCGGGCCTCCGCTTCGACATTTTCCCCAACCTCAGTCCCAGGCCCGTCGCGCGACAACCACAGTCCATTACCGTTGCCACTGTAGTTTCGCTATATATTCTTCGCTCATGCCTTCGCTCATTGTACTCTTGCTTCGATAGTGCAATTTTCGCTCGCTCACTCAATTGCACTCGTAACACCTACTCACAATCACTCCTATCACTAGAAACCCGCAAATGGTCGACGATTTCGTTTGGTCATTACGATGTTACACGCCCTAAGGGGGATACATTTTGCAATCGCCTTGGTCCATCCCATGTGTCACGATGATGCGTGAAGCTTCTTCATTAAAATCTTGTTCATGAGCGCCGGGTTCACTCGACCCCCCGATGCCTTCATTACCTGCCAGGGAGCATGGGGAATGGGCATGGTTGCATACCACATGCATGGATAGAGGGACAGAAAGAGGCACACACTATGACAGCATGCGACGATATATAGCTGCAACGATTAAAATTATTACATGCTGTGACGAGCACAAGCAGCCTCAAAGGAAAAACTCCTCACACCTCAATTCCCTCACACCTCAATTCCCTCACACCTCAATTCCCTCACACCTCAATTCCCTCACACCTCAATTCCCTCACACCTCAATTACATCACACCTCAATTACCTCACACCTCAATTCCCTCACACCTCAATTCCCTCACACCTCAATTCCCTCACACCTGCCCGGTGAAGAAGCCCACCTGCCCGGTGAAGAAGCCCACCTGCCCGGTGAAGAAACCCACCTTCCGGTGAAGAAACCCACCTGCTCGGTGAAGAAGGCCACCTGCCCAGTGAAGAAACCCACCTGCCCGGTGAAGAAGCCCACCTGCCCGGTGAAGAAGCCCACCTGCCCGGTGAAGAAGCCCACCTGCCCGGTGAAGAAGCCCACCTGCCCGGTGAAGAAGCCCACCTGCCCGGTGAAGAAGCCCACCAGCCCAGTGAAGAAGCCCACCTGCCCGGTGAAGAAGCCCTGCAGTTTGGTCTTGCCGGCGCGGAACTGCTCCACCTGCTTGGGGTTGCCCGCCAGCACCTCCTCCACCATCCGCTCTATGGCCGCCTCGTCTGAGATCTGATGCCATGCCATGCCATGCCATGCCATGCCATGCCATGCCATGCCATGCCATGCCATGCCATGCCATGCCATGCCATGCCATGCCATGCCATGCCATGTCATGCCACGCCATGTCATGCCATGCCATGCCATGCCGTGCCATGCCATGCCATGCCATGCCATGTCATGCCACGCCATGTCATGCCATGCCATGCCATGCCATGCCGTGCCATGCCATGCCACGCCACGCCATGCCACGCGACGTCACGCCATGCCAGGCCACGCCACGCCATCCCACAGCAGCATGCGCCGTGGAGGGCACATGGGGGGCGGGCAGGCCATGGAGAGGGTGAGGGATGCCTCCTCTCAGGTAGCAGCAGGCAGCAAAGAGCCTTCAAAGGGCGTGGGGCATCTCTGCTCGGAACACACAGGTGTCAAGAGCCCGACATGGATCTCCGGTGTTCATGGCTTGGCAATGCACCAAGTGTTTCAACACAGTCTCCCACTTCAGCAGGCAGCAAGTAGGACAGACAGGGTTTGCCATATGGTTGAGAACATACTCGCAGCCATGCGAGTGCAGAGAGTCAAGCGAGTGCAGAGAGTCAAGCGAGTGCAGAGAGTCAAGCGAGCGAGACGAAAGTAAATGTCCAACAGTGGTGTAAAATATTACACCAGACACGTTTTCTGAATCGGCCTAAGGTGATAAAGCGACGACGAAACAAGGTGGGTTCGTTGTTGCAATGTGAAATATTACACTGCTGTGCGGCACACTCCGTCCGTGTATACACACAACTGATTTGATCACGCCTATCAAAATCACACTTCACCGCCGCGCCTCTCATCCGCTCACCTGCAGCAGCCCCTTGCCTCACCTGCAGCAGCCCCTTGCCTCACCTGCAGCAGCCCCTTGCCTCACCTGCAGCAGCCCCTTGCCTCACCTGCAGCAGCCCCTTGCCTCACCTGCAGCAGCCCCTTGCCTCACCTGCAGCAGCCCCTTAGCCTCCACCAGCTTGCGTGCACTGCCGCCTTCCGAGAAGAGCACTGGCAGCAGCTGCTAGGCGAGCGAGAGAGACGCGCATGAGGAGACGGGAGAAGGGAAGGAAGAGGAGGAGAGAGAGGCAGCATGAGTAGGTGGAAGGAAGGTGAGCTGTAAGGAGTGCATTCTGTAGGTGCAAGAGGCACCATTGTATGTCAACAAAAAGAGAGACTACACTGAGATGCAAGCTGAGTTCAAGTTACCATGCCCGTTGTGGATTTACCTAATTAGGCTAAGATGTCACAAAAAGGTGATTCCTCGCTGGCATAAGCGCTCGGCTAGGAGGAGCCATGGAAGAAGGCTTGGCTAGGAGGCATGGAAGAAGGCTTGGCTAGGAGGCATGGAAGAAGGCTTGGCTAGGAGGCATGGAAGAAGGCTCGGCTAGGAGGCATGGAAGAAGGCGAGAAAACAAGCTGGATCAAAAGTGTGTCGAGATGCAGAGTGAAGAGCAGGTTGGGGTGAAACGAATAGTAATATGGAAATGAACAAAGCTTAACCTGAAACAACCTAGTGGCGGCCCACAAACCACATAAGGCCATCGCAACTAGTACTGTACACTCTACCTTACTCCACCACTTTCACTCTAGGATGTGACCATGTGCACACACTATCACTGCTGTGCTGAGCCCTGCCAACCAACGCACGTGTGCCACGCACCTCTTTGCCAACCACTGCACTATTGAAATCACTTTTGAGAATTCTCAAAGGCGATTTCAATATTTTGAGAATTCTCAAAAGTGATTTTTGGGAATACTCAAAAGTGATTTCAATAGTGCCACGCACCCTCCCTGCCAACCACTGCATGCCAAGAGGCGCATAAAAAGTCGCACCTCCTTGCCGATCTTGCCGCTGATGGCGCCGTCCTGAATGAGCGCGATGAGACTAGTTGTGAGAGCAATGAGCTCCGCCTGGCTGGATCAGCTCGCACTGCACCACCTCTCAATGCCACGCACCTCCTTGCCACCCACTGCATGCCACGCACCTCCCTGCCACCCACTGCATGCCACGCACCTCCTTGCCACCCACTGCATGCCACGCACCTCCCTGCCACCCACTGCATGCCACGCACCTCCCTGCCACCCACTGCATGCCACGCACCTCCCTGCCACCCACTGCATGCCACGCACCTCCTTGCCACCCACTGCATGCCACACCACGCACCTCCTTTCCGATCTTGCCGCTGATGGTGCCGTCCTGAATGAGCGCGATGAGTTCCGCCAGGCTGGCGGGCGGCATGCGGGCGGCCATGGCCAGCACGGAGCAGCGGTGCGCCTTGAGCAGCGCCGTCACGTCGCCCATCAGCCAGTTGGCCGCCGCCTTGGGGTCCGTCCCCTCTGCCAGCACTCCGTCAAAATAGTCCGAGAACTGCATTGGTTGGGGCGGGAGAGGTGACTTTTGAGTCGACTCAGAAGTGCGCCTTGAGCAGCGCCGTCACGTCGCCCATCAGCCAGTTGGCTGCCGCCTTGGGGTCCGCCCCCGCTGCCAGCACACCGTCACAGTAGTCCGAGAACTGCCGCGGTTGAGGGGGGGGGAGAGGAAGGGCTTTGACTATAACCATCTCCCTACACCCACCTCCCTACAAGCACCTTCGCCCATGGACGCAACGCACCTCCCGGTCGTCCACGAGCACGAGCACGAGCACGAGCACGAGCACGAGCACGTCCTGCATGGACAGCCCCAGCGCCTGCTCCCATTCGGCACCACTAATGAAGGCTTGCTAGGAGCTCCCCTACCAATCTGCTGCTGCTGCTGCTGCTGCTGCTCGCTGGAATATGTCTAAGGACCTGCACGCACCTCCCTGTCGTCCACGAGCACGGAAATAAGCCCATGGGCGCACGCACCTCCCTGTCGTCCACGAGCACGAGCACGTCCTGCATGGACAGCCCCAGCGTCTCGTAGCGCCGCCGCCTTTGAGTCGCCTCAAACACTACACAACCACCTGCTCACAATCACCTTCGCCCATGGACGAGCCGAGCCCCACTGCACGTGTGGCCCCTATAATCATCTCCCTGCACGCACCTCCCGGTCGTCCACGAGCACGAGCACGTCCTGCATGGACAGCCCCAGCGCCTCGTAGCGCCGCCGCCGCTGCTCCGGCAGTTCCGGCAGGCCTGCCTGCAGCTGGTGCAGGAAGGCCTCTTCCAGGTGCAGCGCGGGCAGGTCCGGGTCGGGGAAATACCGATAGTCCGCCAGACCCTCCTTGGACCGCATCGGGGCTGTTTCCTGCCAGGTGGTAGGGGGGGGAGGAGAAGGGAGATTAGATTGATAAGATCTATAAACTCAGGATTTGGCGGTTAGGGAAGTGGCGGTTCATGTCCATGTAATGTCCACGTAATGTCCATGTAATGTCCATGTAATGTCCACGTAATGTCCACGTAATGTCCACATAATGTCCACGTAATGTCCATGTAATGTCCATGTAATGTCCATGTAATGTCCATGTAATGTCCATGTAATGTCCATGTAATGTCCATGTAATGTCCATGTAATGTCCACGTAATGTCCATGTAATGTCCATGTAATGTCCATGTAATGTCCATGTAATGTCCATGTAATGTCCATGTAGCACAGAAATGAGGAGTTAGGAGTGGAAGGTGTCGGCATGAACAAGCTCGTAGCCGGCTTGTCGCGAGCCGAGCAATGGTGACAGGCCGAGCATTGGTGACAGGCCGAGCAATGGTGACAGGCCGAGCAATGGTGACAGGCCGAGCAATGGTGACAGGCCGAGCAATGGTGACAGGCCGGGGCTTGTGCCTCGTGGCAAGCCTTGTGAGGCAGGTGCGCTCGTGTCAAGCCTGCCAGGCTTCTCATAAGCCCCTCTCTGGCTAGTGTGTGAATATTCTTACGGTGGAGACCTAAAAACGAAACGTCGACAAGAAAGCTCTCGATCCATGTCCAACAAATTCAAGTACTAGTAGCCTAAGTGCTCTCGCAAGGGCTGAAACGAGGAGAGAAAGGAAGGAGCAATGGGTTAAAATGCTGATTGCTTCCATCAGCTCGTTGCCGCCTCCTTGCGCCCCCTCATCCCACAGCCTCGTCTCACGCACCTGCAGAAAGTGTAGTTTTGAGACGTCTCAAAACTCATCCCACAGCCTCGTCTCACCTGCCTGCCCTCGTCCCACAGCCTCGTCTCACCTGCCTGCCCTCGTCCCACAGCCTCGTCTCACCTGCCTGCCCTCGTCCCACAGCCTCGTCTCACCTGCCTGCCCTCATCCCACAGCCTCGTCTCACCTGCCTGCCCTCGTCCCACAGCCTCGTCTCACCTGCCTGCCCTCGTCCCACAGCCTCGTCTCACCTGCCTGCCCTCGTCCCACAGCCTCGTCTCACCTGCCTGCCCTCATCCCACAGCCTTGTCTCACCTGCCCGCCCTCATCCCACAGCCTCGTCTCACCTGCCTGCCCTCGTCCCACAGCCTCGTCTCACCTGCCTGCCATCATCCCACAGCCTCGTCTCACCTGCCTGCCCTCGTCCCACAGCCTCTTCTCACCTGCCTGCCCTCGTCCCACAGCCTCGTCTCACCTGCCTGCCCTCGTCCCACAGCCTCGTCTCACCTGCCTGCCCTCATCCCACAGCCTTGTCTCACCTGCCCGCCCTCATCCCACAGCCTCGTCTCACCTGCCTGCCCTCGTCCCACAGCCTCGTCTCACCTGCCTGCCCTCATCCCACAGCCTCGTCTCACCTGCCTGCCCTCGTCCCACAGCCTCGTCTCACCTGCTTGCCCTCGTCCCACAGCCTCGTCTCTTGCACGATGTGCTGCGCCTTGCCGTCCCGGAGCAGCTGTGACTGCCGCGTGATCTCAAAGTCAATGGCACGCTGCATCTCCTTGAAAGAGTTCATGTTCTTGATCTCCACCTGCCATGCCATGCCACTCCATGCCGTGCCATGCCATGCCATGCCATGCCATGCCACGCCATGCCGTGCCATGCCATGCCATGCCATGCCATTCCGTGCCATGCCATGCCACCGGGGCGGAGCAACACGCACACGGAATGAGTTTAGGCTACTCGTCTCCAACTGGCATCGAGAAGAACGGGCAACGGGCAACGGGCTAATTAAGCTGAATGAACGCATGTGGTGAGCGAGCGAGGGAGCGAGCAAGCAAAGTATGCATGGGGAACAAAGGAGCATTTTAAGTGTTCATGGCTGGCTACAAACGAGTCCAACACGCACGCACTCGCCTTCACGGACCTGCCATGCCATATGCTCCCCAGCCCAGCCCATCACCCTCTAGCCCATATTCTCACCTTGTTACCGAGCCTCTCTCCTTGAGGCCGAACCTCTCCCCCTTGTGCCGAACCTCTCTTCTTGGTGCGGAGGGACCTTTCACTCACCTTGGTGCCAAGGGTGGTTTGACCACGGGGCCGCACGGAGACGTTGACATCGCAGCGCATGGAACCCTCCGCCATGTTGCCGTTGCCCACCCCCACGTACCGCACCTGATGACGTGTCACCGCACCACACCGCACACACACCGGCAGGGAGCACGCACGGGTGTATGGAGCATGGGTGGTTGCATCATAATACAGACTAAGAAATACAAACTGACCGGAAACAAGGGCACGTAGTAGAAGTTTATCAATGGGCAATTGCTTGGGCACAGGGGACAGGGCACAAGGCACAGCACACAGCACACGCCACAGCACACAGCTCACAGCACAGCACAGCACACAGCACACAGCACACAGCACACAGCACACAGCACAGCACACAGCACACAGCACACAGCACAGCACACAGCAGCACACACACAGCACAGCACACGCCACGGTACCAGTCTCTGCAGCTCGGCGGCGTATTCAGCTGCCTCTGCCCCGGAGCGCATGTCGGGCTCAGATACCACCTCCACCAGTGCCACCCCCGCCCGGTTCAGATCCACCTGAGAGATGGCACATGCAGAGATGGCACGGGCAGAGAGGGCACGGGCAGAGATGGCACGGGCAGAGAGGGCACGGGCAGAGATGGCACGGGCAGAGATGGCACGGGCAGAGATGGCACGGGCAGAGAGACAGGTAAGAACGTGCAAGCCACACTGGCAGCGACAGCAAGCATGGGCTGTGCTTCCATGCCTGGTACACCTCACCTCACCTCACCTCACCTCACCTCACCTCACCTCACCTCACCTCACCTCACCTCACCACCATCCCATCCCACGTGTCACCACCCCCATGCAGCGCCTCACCTGGCTGCCATCCCCCCCAAGCAGCGCCTCACCTGGCTGCCATCCCCCCCAAGCAGCGCCTCACCTGGCTGCCATCCCCCCCAAGCAGCGCCTCACCTGGCTGCCATCCCCCCCAAGCAGCGCCTCACCTGGCTGCCATCCCCCCCAAGCAGCGCCTCACCTGGCTGCCATCCCCCCCAAGCAGCGCCTCACCTGGCTGCCATCCCCCCCAAGCAGCGCCTCACCTGGCTGCCATCCCCCCCAAGCAGCGCCTCACCTGGCTGCCATCCCCCCCAAGCAGCGCCTCACCTGGCTGCCATCCCCCCCAAGCAGCGCCTCACCTGGCTGCCATCCCCCCCAAGCAGCGCCTCACCTGGCTGCCATCCCCCCCATGCAGCGACTTCCCGGCATCTTCCTCCAGATGGGCGCGCGTGACTCCAAAGCGCCGCCGCCCGCCACCCGCCTCGAGGGGCATGTCCACATCCACGTGGCCGCGCGCTGCCAGAGGCTCGTCAAACTGCGATATCTGCACGGGGGGAGTGCAGTGCAGTGCAGCGCAGCGCAGCACGGGGGGAGGGGAGAGGGTGGCAGGGGGCGCTTTTGAGTCGACTCAAAGGCAGACTGGGCATGTCGACGTCCACATGGCCGTGCGCTGCCAGGGGCTTGTCAAACTGCGATATCTGCCGCAGCACGGGGGGAGAGGGTGGCAGGGGGAATGGTTTGAGGCGCCTCAGAACTAGACGCCTCGAGGGGCATGCCCACGTCACGTCCACATGGCCGCGCGCTGCCAGGGGCTCGTCAAACTGCGATATCTGCCGCAGCACGGGGGGAGAGGGTGGCAGGGGGAATGGTTTGAGGCGCCTCAGAACTAGACGCCTCGAGGGGCATGCCCACGTCACGTCCACATGGCCGCGCGCTGCCAGGGGCTCGTCAAACTGCGATATCTGCCGCAGCGCAGCACGGGGGGAGAGGGTGGCAGGGGGCGTGGTGGTGGCATTGAGAGAATGGAGGGGGGAGGGGAGGATAACCGGCGTGGCATGGGAATGGGGAAGGAAATGTCTCGACATGCCCGCCCGCCTGCACTCTCAGCACTGTGCTCTCTGCTCAACCCTGTCCCACATTCTCCTGCGCCTCTCCTGTGCCACTACATGCCACGTGCTAGCCCTACAACGCACCTAGCATGGGGCTCTTGGGGAGGCAGAGCGGCACCTGATAGCCATTCACCTGATAGCCATTCACCTGATAGCCATTCACCTGATAGCCATTCACCTGATAGCCATTCACCTGATAGCCATTCACCTGATAGCCATTCACCTGATAGCCATTCACCTGATAGCCATTCACCTGATAGCCATTCACCTGATAGCCATTCACCTGATAGCCATTCACCTGATAGCCATTCACCTGATAGCCATTCACCTGATAGCCATTCACCTGATAGCCATTCACCTGATAGCCATTCACCTGATAGCCATTCACCTGATAGCCATTCACCTGATAGCCATTCACCTGATAGCCCTTCACCTGAAAGCCATTCACCTGATAGCCATTCACCTGATAGCCCTTCACCTGGTAGCCCTTCACCTGGTAGCCCTTGGGGAGGTCGCACCTGGTAGCCCTTGGGCAGGTCGGGGTAGAAGTACTGCTTGCGGTCGAACTTGCTCGTCAGCGCCACGTGGCACTGCAGCGCCAGCGCCAGCCGCACAGCCGCATCCACCACGCGCGCGTTCAGCACGGGCAGCGCGCCGGGCTGCCCCATGCACGTGGGGCACACGTGCTCGTTGGGCGCCGCGCCGTACTGCGCCGCGCACCTGCAGAACGCCTGCCAGCGGGCGGCGGATCGAGGGGCGGAGGGCGGAGGGCGGGAGAATGGGCGGGGCGGGAGTGAGTGGCGAGTGTTGCCTCGTGGCGCGGGGGGGGGAAGAGGCGCATATGTGGTGCGCAAGGAGGCGCGGAGGGCGCGGAGTGAGATGACGGCGAGCGGCGGTGGCAGTAGGCGTGGAGCTGCGCGGCTGCTCGGCTGCGTGGAGCTGAGCGGCGGTGACAGTTCCCCACCCCGGTAGCGCGCCGCGCCCCACTGATCCGCTGCGCCTTGCCCGACGCGCCACGCACCTTGGTCGCCGTGTTCAGCTGCACGTGCGTTTCGATGCCGATCACCGCCTCAAACTCCCCCTCACCGCGCGCCGAGCCTTCCGCCGTCTGCCCCTCTGCCACCGACACCGCGTGCGCGCGAGCTCTCCCCATATTGGGGCGCTGCGCCCTCGCCACGGCCCTCGACGAGCTGGACGGCGCGGCGGCCGTGCGCGCGTCAACGCGCGAAAGGTGGGCCGCGCGCGCCGACGACGGGCAGCATGGAAGGGCGACCGCGCCGCAACGGACGGCCGGAGCGGCTGCCACAGACGCGGAATGCCGCGCAGATAGCGACAAGAGAGACATTGCCGCACCTGTTACACACGTGGCAGACGGCATTCGAATTGCGGCTTTCCGCGTGGATGAGGAAAGCACGGCGCAGGCTTCCAGCGCGCGGAGAATAGCGAGTGAAGGACGCGGAAAACAGCGGGCGAGCATGGAGGGCGGAGGGGATCAGGGGCGAGACCGGGAATGGCGATGAAGGGGGAAATCGAGTGGGCGGGGATGCTGTGCCAATGTGAAATCCTCGTTATCGAGACCCCAGTTTTTTTTTGTCTGCTAAAAAGAGGCACACCTAGCGAAGTTGTTACTGATGAACCGCACACATCCGTACCTTCACGGCAGGTGTAAGTACGGTCCAAACCTGAATAACCTGATTCTGATTGGTCAGGGCGGGAACAATGTCTGCGCGCGAAAACTCTGTCACGCGAAGTACGCCAAATTGTTTTGGCTTGGGATGAAGCAGCCTGACAGCATCTCCTCTAGGAGACTCACGAAGCGCGAAACCTAGCGCCTAGCAGTGCAATCATCGAAAGCCAGTTTCTGAGCAGCCCGACGAAGCAATTTTGGCAGTGCGAACCTAGAAGCAAATTTGATTTTCTTTCTACGGCGCTTTCCGCCACTCCTAGTAGCGCATTTGGAAAACGTAATTTTTACCAATTCATCAGCTACTTGACACGTTTCTCAGAACGACTTGGTGAAGCGATGGATGGACTTTATCGTGAATGACGCTATTTTGTTATGAGGAGCCTCCTAGCGACTCGGTAGTGTTATCGAATTCGGGGTTGCGTAATGATCTCGAAACCAGAGTAAAGTAGTGCTGACAATTCGAGATACGAGTTGCTTTTGAGTTCGAAAGTAGTGATTCGAGCGTCAATGGCGCTGACGGTGGATGATGCGATCGCGACGCTGTTCACGCTGACTCAGCATGACGAGCAGCCGGGCGTGCAGGGTCTCACATCCACCATGGTGTACGACGCATCGTACAGGACGTCGTATACAGGTAGACACAGCAGGCCGTATCATGTCATACAGCAAGTCGTACGCAGGTAGCCATGTCGCCACTCCTTTTACCCCATTTATTCATCCCGCGTCCGTTACCCTCCTTTTCCCCCCTGTCGTCACACCCCCGCCTCACGCCACCCGCTCCTAGCTTCCGTCGCCATACCCCCGCCTCACGCCACTCGCTCCTAGCTTCCGTCGCCATACCCCCGGCTTCGCGCCACCCGCTCCTTCTGTCCGCCCTGGCTGTCCAGAGCACGTCGAGGTGGCTGCGTGCTAGCTGTCCCTTCCAGCTGTCCCTTCCAGCTGTCCCTTCCAGCTGTCCCTTCCCGCTGTCCCTTCCAGCTGTCCCTTCCAGCTGTCCCTTCCCGCTGTCCCTTCCAACTGTCCCTTCCAGCTGTCCCTTCCAGCTGTCCCTTCCAGCTGTCCCTTCCAACTGTCCCTTCCCGCTGTCCCTTTCCCCTGCTTTTCACCCCAACCCTCCCCTCCCTCCAGAGTACGCCGAGGTGGCGGCCGGCCTGCTAGCTGTCCCTTCCAGCTGTCCCTTCCAGCTGTCCCTTCCCGCTGTCCCTTCCAGCTGTCCCTTCCAGCTGTCCCTTCCCGCTGTCCCTTCCAACTGTCCCTTCCAGCTGTCCCTTCCAGCTGTCCCTTCCAGCTGTCCCTTCCAACTGTCCCTTCCCGCTGTCCCTTTCCCCTGCTTTTCACCCCAACCCTCCCCTCCCTCCAGAGTACGCCGAGGTGGCGGCCGGCCTGCTAGCTGTCCCTTCCAGCTGTCCCTCATGTTCACCCCCTTCTCCCCTCTTTTTCACCCCCTTCTCCCCTCTTTTTCACCCCCTTCGTCTTCATGCCATGGTCACCCAAACCCCCCCTCCCCCTCCCCCCTTCCTCCAGAGTACGCCGAGGTGGCGGCCTTCCAGCTGTCTCTGGAGGACGACACTGCCGCCATCAACCAGCTGGTGAGGGGCGGAGAGCGAGAGGGGGAGAGAGTGAGAAAAGGGAGGAGATGAGGGAGGGGAGCGAGAACAGGGAGGGAGGTGGCGGCCTTCCAGCTGTCTCTGGAGGACGACACTGCCGCCATCAGCCAGCTGGTGAGGGGGTGGACGGGAGGGGCAGGGGAGGGGACCCACCGAGTGTGGGAGTGTGGGAGTGAGGGAGAGAGGGTGTGGATAGAGAGCAGGGAGCCGAGGTGGCGGCGTTCCAGCTGTACAGACGTCTCAACTCAACCAGCTGGTGAGGGGCGGGGAGGGAAGGGAGTGAGAGAGGTGGGAAGGGAGAGAGGGAGAGGGAGAGGAGAGAGAGAGAGGGAGGGAAGAGGAGGAGAGATGGGAGAGAGGGAGAGGGGAGAGAGGGAGAGGGAGGGGAGAGCGAGCAGGGAGGGGACCCACCAAGTGTGGGAGAGAGAGGGAGTGGGTAGAAAGCAGGGAGGGGATAGAAAGCAGGGAGGGGAGGTGGCGGCCTTTCAGCTGCCCTTGCAGGCGACACTGCCACCATCAACCAACTGGTGAGGTGAAGGGGCGGGTCGAGGGGCAGGGGAGGGATGGAGGGGAGATAAGGAGAGGAGAGGGGGGAGGGAGGGGAAAGAGGGGAGAGGAAGGGGAGGGTGGAGAGGAAGGAAAAATATTATAACTGATGGAGAGATGTAAACATGCAAGCCTCCAGGTGACGGGTGAATGGGCCAACGAGACGGACAGGGGGCTTGAGAGGAGAGTCGTAGGGGATGGGAGTAGGCAGATCGGCAAACCTGCATAGTCGTTCGTTTGGCAACACTGGCGCGGATGCATGTCAGCAAGCACTCGGGTGACTTTAGAGTCGACTCAAAAGCCACCTCGTTACAATGGCACAGGAGGATGCATGTCAGCAAGCACTGACATGAATTTGTTTCAAAAGTCACTGATATTGGTTTTTTATTCAAACGGTAAACTCCATCCGCTTACTTCTGGTCCTCTGACTGCAACCCCCCTCTGTTTTGTCTCTCCTCCTCTTTTTTCTCACTCTTCACTCCTACGTCTTCTATCCCTCTACCCTCCTCTAACACCCATCATCCCATCCCGTGCACATGGCATGGCTGCAGGACGCCCTATTGGCAGATGGCAGGGACATGCTCGCATCGCTATGCACCCTCTGAGTCGACTCAGTCATTACTCATCTCACCCCCTTGCGTGCTGCATGTGCGCATGGCATGGCATGGCATGGCATGGCGTCACTGCAGGACGCCCTGTTGGCAGATGGAAAGGACGCTCTCGCATCGCTCTACACCTACCGCAGCGTTTCCAAGTCCTTTCCTGAGGTAGGACACGTGGCAATTGATTTGAGGCAGTGATCCAGCACCCAGCTGCCAGCAGGGCGCAAGTCTAGCATCGCTCGACGCTGTGTGTGCCCGCCACAGCGTTGGTAAGGCCTTTGATGAGGCAGGGCGCCTCTCAGGTCTGCAGAGGGAGGTAGCTGCAGAGGGAGGCAGCTGCAGAGGGAGGTAGCAGAGCATAGGAATCTTCCTCTTTCACTTGAAGGATTCTTACCGTCTGTAAGAGTACTACAAACACCCTTCATTGCTAATCTTGAACCCTCTCCCCGTCGCTCATCTCTCCCTTAATGTTTTTCTGCTACCCACTGCCTCCCTGCAGTCAGTGCAAGCTCTGGACGAGAATGCAGAGCCAGGTCTGCTGCAAGAGGCGTTTGCGGTTGTAGATGTGGAGATGAATTTTGAGTCGACTCAGATGTCACCTTGCTCTTTCTCTCTTCCCTGTCTTTCTCCCACCCGCTGCCTCCCTGCAGTCAGTGCAAGCTCTGGACGAGAATGCAGAGCCGGGTCTGCTGCAGGAGGCGTTTGCGATTGTAGATGTGGAGATCGAACGGCTGAGAGACATCCATCAGTGGCAGCTGCGAGCACGGTCGTTGATTGCTGCTGACCTGCAGCGATTCTCAGGGGAGATGACCGGTCCTACCCTCACACACCTGTGGTGAGTCATGCAGTGAGTCACCCCTGTGGTGACTGCTCAAACACACCGAGGACTCTTTAGTCGCCAAAAAAACACTGCGCTACACACATACTGCACTCCACCGCATTGCACTGCACTGCACCCAATCCCACAGGAGCCTGCTGAGGGTGCTGGACACGTGTCTGCTGCTGGACGTCCTCAAGAACACCAAGGCAGCACCGCTCTCTGGTTTTTGAGAATTCTCAAAAAGCAGCGCCGCTCTCTGACCTTTGAGTCGACTTGGAAGGCTCTAGCATCAATTCAAAAGTCTGTGCTACACACATACTGCACTGCACCACATTGCACCTTGCCGCACTGTACCCAATCCCACAGGAGCCTGCTGAGGGTGCTGGACACGTGTCTGCTGCTGGACCTGCTGAAGCACACCAAGGCAGCGCCGCTCCCTGACCTGCTCTGGTTCAGGCGGTGAGCACTCACGCCTTGCCTTCCTTGCCTTCCTTGCTTCCAAGGCCGTCCATGCCTTGCATGCCCCATTTGCCATGCCTCCCTTGCCGTCCATGCCTTGCATGGCTTGCATGCCCCATTTGCCATGCCTCCCTTGCCGTCCATGACTTGCATGGCTTGCATGCCCCATTTGCCATGCCTCCCTTGCCGTCCATGCCTTGCATGGCTTGCATGCCCCATTTGCCATGCCTCCCTTGCCGTCCATGCCTGCCTGACTCTCGCTCCTCCTCTGCTCCCACCTCTTTTTCCTGCACCTGCTTCCACATGTCCCCCCCTTTCCCCTCGTCCCCCTTGTTGTTCTCTGCCCTCTTTTATTAATGCCTGACACCAGAGCGGTGCAGAGTGGTCGAGTCACTGCAGAGAGGGGTTCGGATACTGACAGCGACCTGGAGGTAGGCCAATGGCAGGCGGTTGATTGGAATTGCTTCTCAGAAATAAACGGTCATCGTATCTTAGTATGAGTTTGCATTTCACCCTTGGAACAGACATGCAGGTGGTGCAGGTGCAAAGCAAATGAAACTAGTCCAACATATTGTAAGTGCATTGACATGCCAGCCATCACCTGTTGCGTCCTTCTGCCCCACCTTCCCTTCCCACCCACGTCCCTGAAACTCTCCACTTGCTTGAAATCCCCATGAACACTCTCCCCTCCCCGCCATGTCTCCCTGCGACAACGCCAGGAGTTTTGGAGCAAGCGCTGGGCCGTTCTCTCCAGCCTGCAGGCCGGCATCCCCGGGAACGAAACGTACGTGCTAGGGTGCAGTGCGGTGCAGTGCTGTGCAGTGCAGTCCAGTCCGGTCCGGTCCTCTAAAGTCCACTCCAGACCGTTTATGCGAATGAGTGCCTTGCATCATGGCCAATGAAACATGCATTGCTTTCCTTTGAAGACACCTCAAGTAATGAGTCTATTTTTGAGTCAACTCAAAATGAGTCTATTTTTTAGCCGACTCAGAATCAGACCGTTTATGCGAATGAGTGCCTTGCATCATGGCCAATGAAACATGCATCGCTTTCCTTTGAAGGCACCTCAAGTCAAGTCAAGGCACCTCAGCACAAGCGTGCATGGAGCGATCGGATCTGGCGCACCCTGTGCACAACAGCGCATGCTGCTGTTCTTTGTGCAGCTCATGGTGTGGTAGGAGTGGTACCATATGGGCACCATATAGGAGTGGTAGAGCGCGCAGTGCCATTCATTTCTCTCTCGCCATTGCCCAACCTCCCTCTCCTTCCTGTGTGGGAAAGTTTCTAGTGCAGCTGATGGTCGTAGCCACGGGCACCATAGAGAGCGGCCACACGCTGCTATTCGCCGACCGCCTCATGCTGCTGCTACTCTTCCTGCCCCTCCTCCCCCCCTTTTCAGTGTGGAGGAGTTTTTTGTGCAGCTCATGGTGGTGGCTACGGGCACTATAGAGAGCGGCCGCACGCTGCTGTTTGCCGATCGCCTGATGCTGCTGCGAGTGCTGCCGGTGCTCATATCGCTCGCCGCGCGCACCGAGGCCGAGGCAGACACGCTGTTCCGGCGGAGAGTCAAGCTTGACCGCCTGCTCCGGCTCTTCAAGGTGGGTTCACGTGTGTGCACGTGTGGGTGTTTGCATGTGGGTGGGTGGATGTGGGTCTGATGCTGCTGCATGTGCTGCCGGTGCTCATATCCCTCGCAGCACGCACCGAGGCCGAGGCAGACACGCTGTTCCGGAGGAGAGTCAAGCTTGACCGCCTTCTCCGACTCTTCAAGGTGGGTGGGTGGGTGCATGTGAGTGTGTGCGTGCGTGCGTGCGTGTGTGCCTGCGTGTGTGTGTGTGTGTGCTTCTTTGTTTTGGAGAGTCTCAACACTTGCTGTCATCTCAACTTATATTCCTGCCGTGCCATACACACCAACTCATTCTCTTTCTGCCATGCCTTGGCATCGCTACTTCCCTCGCTCCTGCTCTCTGCATTTTCTTCTCCTCGTATCTCCTCTTTCTCTCCCCACCACACATCTCTCCAGTGCGAGCCCCTAGTGGCAGGCTACAAGGATGTACCCTTCACCCTCACGTCTCTGCTTGCTTACATGCCATGCTATGCAATGCTTTAATCACGCATCACTCTCTTTCGCTTTCCACCACACATCTCTCCAGCGTGAGCCCCTAGTGGCAGGCTACAAGGAGGTACCATTCGCCCTCGCGTCTCTCCTGCCAGACCTCTCGCCGTTCTTCCGCAAGCTGTGTGTTGAGAAGGGCGTGCTGCTGCCCGTGCCCAGCAACATGGACGCAAAGGAAGGTGGGAGAGGGAATTATTGGAGGAAAGAAGTGGTGATGAGGTGTAGAGGGGCTGTTTTATCTCAACCTCCCCTCCTCTCTCAATTCTTCTGCAAGCTGTGTGTTGAGAAGGGCGTGCTGCTGCCCGTAGTCAGTTTGCTTGATCTTAGTAGGCTTGCAGCGGTTCGAAACCATCCTTTCTCAATGGAGAAGGGCGTGCTGCTGCCCGTGCCCAGCAACATGGACGCCAAGGAAGGTGGGTGAGGGGAGGACGGGATGAGAGAGATAGCGATGTGATGTGGTGGTGGAGACGGGCGGTGACATGCATGCAGAAGCAACTTCTTCTGCAGCAGAAGCAGTTCGTTTTTAACTCCAGAAGACAGGCTGAGCGAGCGTGAAGTGGTGGGCGAGAATGGCGGTGAAGAGGAAGGAGATGACGAGGGCACGAAGGAAGGAGTGCTGCGGCAGAGGCCAAGTTGGGCAGACGAGCGGGGATTTCCAAAGGCCAGCAAACTCTTATGGCGCCACTGGATCCTGAGGGCAAGGAAGTCGTTACGTTGACCTTTGGGGATTTTTGAGTCGACTCAAAAATCGACTCACTACACGCGGACTCAAAAATCGAGCGGGGGTTTCCAAAGGCGAGCGAAATCTTATGGCGCCACTGGATCCTGAGGGCAAGGAAGTCGTTACGTTGACCTTTGGGGATCCCAGCTCGGCTGCCCAACTTGACCGCTGCCGCATCACTCCTTCGTGCTCTCGTCTTTCCCCTCCTCTTCACCGCCATTCTTGCCCAACACTTCACACTCGCTCAGCCTATCTTCTGAAGCTGCAAACGAAATTGCTTCCGCTGCCGGTTTCAAGTGACATGCACGCATGCCGGCCAAGGAGAGCAAGGAGGAAAACGACAGAGCCTATTGTAAAGTCCTTCATGCAGCCTTGCAAATTTGATTGCGTCAGTGCCTTGCCTCGAACGTTTGGCCTGACCTGCTGCTCCAGATGCAAGCAATCGCTCTGGCTCAATTCTCTATCATCCTTCCTCCTCACCTTCCCCACCCTCACCGTCTCTTTGGCTGCTGTGTCGCGAGTGTACGACCTGCTGCCGCAGATGCCAGCCATTCCCAAATCACACGAACCCCCACGAACCTTCCCCCCTCTTTCCCTCTTAGCTTCATCCTCTCCTTAATTCCTCCCTCCCTGCCCTTAGTGTCACGAGTGCACGACCTGCTGCCCCAGATGCCGGTCATCGCCAAGGCTCACGAGGAGTTCTGCCCTCTCTCCCTTCAACCACCCAACGCTGCCTCATGGAGCAATCCTCTCTCCTTTCTCCCCACCCACCCCTCCTCTCATTTCCTGCAGTGTCACGAGTGTACGACCTGCTGCCTCAGATGCCAGCCATTGCCAAGGCTCACGAGGAGCTCTGCCTGCGCTTTACTGCCGCCATGAACAAGGTACGGCGGGTTGCAGTGCGGTGAAGTGTGGTACTATCGCCGGCCATAGGCAAGACACACGAGGAGCTGTGCCTGCTATTCACCGTTGGCACGAATAAGGTGCATGCGCTAGGGTTCTATAGTGAAGTGTGGTGCAGCATGGTGAAGTGTGGTTTAGACGCCCCCCCCCTGCCAGGCATATACGAGTAGAGTAGCTCTGCCTCCTGATATATAGCATGGTGTGATCGCCAGCTTGTTGCTCGCTGAGCATGGTACAGTAGGTTGGGTGAGAGCATGGTACAGTAGGTTGGGTGAGAGCATGGTACAGTAGGTTGGGTGAGAGCATGGTACCATGCTATGCTGCCGCGTAAGAGGCACAGCGTGGAGGTGTACCGCGTGCTGCTGGAGGGGCTGCTGCTGCTGTCCCTCTAACCCCCATCCACCCCTTCCCAATTCCACCCACGCCCGGCTGACAGTGATGAAGCGTGTGTGGGTGAAGTCGCTGTCGCTCCAGGCGAAGGAAGGTGTAATGTAATGTGTGCTGCAGGAGGGGGCCAATCTTACAGTGCTGAATGTGCATTCTGTATAAACCCCATTCAACCCACCCCATCCCATCTCCCCCTCCACGTACCCAGCTGACAGTGATGAAGCATGCAAGGGTCAAGTCTCGGTCACCACAAGCCGAGGTGCGGGTGGAGGTGTACCGCGTGCTGCTGGAGGGGCTGCTGCTGCTGCTCTCAACTTGCATTCCCTGTAACCCCCACCCACCCAAAACCCACACGTGCACAGCTGACAGTGATGAAGCATGCGCGGGTGAAATCGCGCTCCCCCCAGGCGAAGGAGGTGCGGGTGGAGGTGTACCGAGTGCTGCTGGAGGGGCTGCTGCTGCTCTCCCGCTGGTCCGGCCGCCTGCTGCAGCACTTCGCCTGGAAGACCCACCTTGCTGCTTCCTCCCACACTGTTGCTCCTCCCCCTGCCAGCACTAACTCTCCTGCTGCTGCTGATGCCTCAAACGCTGCTGGTGTGGCTGGTGGTTTTGCTGCTGCTGACGCTGCAAGCGCCGAGGCAGAAGCAAGGGAAAGTGAGAGCCCAGCAGCGGACGGAGGGCCAAGGAGGCTTCATCAGCTCTTTGCTGAGGCTGCTGGGCTCCCGCCTTCACCATCCCCATCACCACCTGTAGTTGGGAGTGCTGCGGGTGCTGGTGGAGCCGCTGGTGTTGGGGGTGTGGGCCCAGGCGGAGGCAAAGGGAAGCAGAACCTGAGTGCATACGAGCAGGTGAGGCCAGGTGGCGTGAAGGGTGGGGTTGGGCGGATGCAAAGGGAAGCAGAACGCTGACTGCAGATGAGCAGGTGAGGCTGTACTCACCTTCCCCTCTTACCTGTCATGATATATCTCGCTCTCTGCACACCTTCTTTCCTCTTCCTCCTATGCCTCTTCTTCTCTCGCATTAGCGTCTACATTCGCTTTTTTTGGACGGTCCGTCTTCATATTCGCCGTTCTCGCGTTAGACTAGAGCTTGACCTGCCTTTTCTACCAATTTCACGTGTCCCCGCCCGGTGCTCTCTCTTGCCCCCCGCTGTCTTTGAGCAGATGGTGCAGCATGGTTTCTCACAGGCAGAGCTGCAAGCTGTGTTACAGGTGTGTATTGGTGCTGGGTTTTTGGCTGTTGTTGCGAATGTTGAGGCGGTTTCTGCTGTGTGTGTGGGTGTGTGTAGTGTATCTCTGTGTGCGTTGGGTTTTTCTTTTGTATGTTTTGACTCTCGTATCTCTAAGCCTCTTTTATTGCCATTCTCATACGGTAATATGCTTATCCGTCCTCCCTTGCTCCATATTGCGCTTTCCTATTTACTATTCACCTCCTCAACTGTCCCTTTTTTCTTGCCCTTCTCCCTGGTATTAAAAAATGCAGATATATCAGTCGATGAAATTCTTTCTTCTCCTCCTCCCCTCCCGCCCCACTCAGTTGATCTGATCTCCTCATATCCTCCATCTCACCTCTCCCTTGTCCAGCTGATTGCATACATAAAGGGCGTGGCGGCCATGATGACAGCAGTGGAGGGGGACATTGCATGGGTGCTGCGGGAGGCCATCCACGCGGACGTGCAGGAGTTTGCACGCGTGTATGTGGCCTCTCTGCTCAAGCGTGTCTCCTCTTCCAACATGGACTCACCCTACGCGAGGTAGGTTATGCTGTCATAGTGTGTTTGTATGTATGCACCACGAGAAGCCATCCACGGGCAGGAGTTTGCACGCGTGTATGTGGCCTCGCTGCTCAAGCGTGTCTCCTCTTCCAACATGGACTCACCCTACGCGAGGTAGGTTATGCTGTCATAGTGTGTTTGTATGTATGCACCACGAGAAGCCATCCACGGGCAGGAGTTTGCACGCGTGTATGTGGCCTCGCTGCTCAAGCGTGTCTCCTCTTCCAACATGGACTCACCCTACGCGAGGTAGGTTATGCTGTCATAGTGTGTTTGTATGTATGCACCACGAGAAGCCATCCACGGGCAGGAGTTTGCACGCGTGTATGTGGCCTCGCTGCTCAAGCGTGTCTCCTCTTCCAACATGGACTCACCCTACGCGAGGTAGGTTATGCTGTCATAGTGTGTTTGTATGTATGCACCACGAGAAGCCATCCACGGGCAGGAGTTTGCACGCGTGTATGTGGCCTCGCTGCTCAAGCGTGTCTCCTCTTCCAACATGGACTCACCCTACGCGAGGTAGGTTATGCTGTCATAGTGTGTTTGTATGTATGCACCACGAGAAGCCATCCACGGGCAGGAGTTTGCACGCGTGTATGTGGCCTCGCTGCTCAAGCGTGTCTCCTCTTCCAACATGGACTCACCCTACGCGAGGTAGGTTATGCTGTCATAGTGTGTTTGTATGTATGCACCATGAGAAGCCATCCACGGGCAGGAGTTTGCACGCGTGTATGTGGCCTCGCTGCTCAAGCGTGTCTCCTCTTCCAACATGGACTCACCCTACGCGAGGTAGGTTATGCTGTCATAGTGTGTTTGTATGTATGCACCACGAGAAGCCATCCACGGGCAGGAGTTTGCACGCGTGTATGTGGCCTCGCTGCTCAAGAGGGTTTCTTCCTCCAACATGGATTCACCTTATGCCAGGTAGGTTAGGTATTCACAGTGTGGCCGTATGCACCACGAGAAGCCATCCATGCAGACGTGCAGGAGTTTGCACGCGTGTATGTGTTCTCGCTGCTCAAGCAGGTATCCTCCTCCAATATGGACTCGCCCTACACCAGGTAGGGAGTGAGAGTATGGCCACATGCAGCACCAGAGGCCTCATGGAGTGTGCACGCGTTTATGTAGCCTCGCTGCTCATGCGCGTATCCTTCTCCAACGTGGATTTACCCGATGCCATGGGTGACATGCCAGGCAGTGATAATATGGACAACTGTTCACTATGTATTATATGCGTGCTGCTATGCTGTTGAATTTACTACTCTTTTTGTAACTTCCATTCCACCCGAGATGTTTCCTTCCTGCGTGTCTTTTCTCTCCATCATGCATACCTCCCTCTGTGCTGTGTGTGTTCTGGTATGCATACCAGCAGCACAGCAGTGCAATGCGCTATGTTGTGCTCCTCCGCGTTGCTGCGCGGCAGGTCACTACTGAGGATCACGGCAGTGGTGGCAGACTGGGCGGGGATACCCGAGGAGGAGGCGCTGGAGGTGATGGCGAGGAGCCACAGGTGGCACCCCGTCAAGCGTCTTACCCTGCCGCACCCCATCCCGCCCTCCCTCTGTGTGTTGCCTCTTGCTGCTGCAGGACGTTGCTGAGGATCCGCGCAGTGGCGGCGGACTGGGTGGGGATTCCGGAGGAGGAGGCGCTGGAGGTGGTGGTGAAGAGCAGGAAGGGGCACCCCGTGAATGAGGACGACCTCAAGCGGCTTGCCTTGCCGCGCCCCACCCCGCCTTCCCTCGCCCAGGTGAGTCACATGTACAGGCTGACAGTCACTGGTCGGTCACAGGCTCACTGGTCAGTCTGTCAGTGGCTCGTGCTTGCATGCTAGCAGGTGGAGGTGGTGGGGAAGAGCCGAAAAGGCCATCCTGTGAGATTCACTTAGTGTGAATGAGGACGACCTTAAGAGGCTCCCACCGCCGCGCCCCACCCCGCCTTCCCTCGCCCAGGTGAGTCTTTCCCAGGTTGTCTTAATTCCTGTGTGACTTTAAGCGCATTTTCAACGCCTGCGGCTCTTCTTCCTTTGGCCTCCTGCCCTGCAGAGTTCAGAAGCTGGTGCCGGCATTGCTGGTTGGTTGGAGCAGGCACCGGGGTGAAAGAGCGGCTCTCCTAGATGCTTGACTTGAACCATCACACAGCCACCTATTATAAGCTCCTTGCTACTCTCGGCCTTTCTGTTCTCGCGCAGATCCTCTGTCTGGTGCAGGCGCTGGTGATCGGAGCAAGTGCCGGAGTGAAAGGATGGCAAAGGCACCATCATCACAGCCTATCCCTTGTGCTTCCCTTGTGCTTCCCTTGCTTCCCCTCCTTCCTTCATCTCTTCCCTCCCTTCCCCTGCAGATTCACTGTCTGCAGCATCTGGTGCAGGCGCTGGTGATCGGGGCAAGCGCGGGAGTGAAAGATGTGTTATTTTTTCTAGACGGTTGGCCATTCCCTTCAGCTTCCTTTCCTTCCCCTCCTTCTTTCCTTCACTTCCTACCTCCCTTCCCCTGCAGATTCACTGCCTACAGCACTTGGTGCAGGCGCTGGTGATCGGGGCAAGCGCGGGAGTGAAAGGGGGTTTTTTCGGTCCAGAGAAGAGCAAGCAGGGGGGCAAGGAGGAGGGGGGGAAGAGTCGCAGCAAGGGCAGAGACAGGGAGGTGTCAGCCAGTGAAATCAAGGAGTTGGATAACTTCTTGCAGCGCCTGCTCTTCTTCCCACACTTGCTTGATTACCCAAGTACGTTGGTTGGTTGGCTTACTAGCCTTGCAACATGTGGCATCCGTGGGTTTTGAGGTGTCTCAAGGAGGGACAGGGAGGTGTGAGCGAGTGAGATGAAGGAGCTCGATAGCTTCCTGCAGCGCCTGCCTGCTCTGCTTCCCCCACTTGCTTGATTACCCCAGTACGATGGCTGGTTGGTATACTAAAGAGACGTTAAAGGAAGCTTGTTGTTGTATGCGGGGTCGTACTTTTGAGTCGACTCAAAAAACGTTGTATGCGGGGTCGTACTCCGTTTGCCATTGGACACGATTTCGTGGCAATCAGTTATTTTTCCATGTCATTCGCCCTTGCAGCTGTTTCTGGAAAAATATAGGGAATCCTGGCTTAATGAATTCCTCCATGTGGCTGCAAGATTCCCATCAGACGCATGGCACTGGCACATCAGTGGTCTACCTCTTTTCTCTGCAAAGCCTGCCTTTCCATTCAAGTTCCAGCTCTCTCTTTCGGCTCCTGCTGCCTTCGTCCCCTTTACAAGACGCCTTGCTACAGGTGACAGACCTCTCCTTCCTGTGGCTGCGGGAGTCGTTTCTAGACCCAGCAGCAACGGCACAGGTCCCTCTCTCGGCCAGCCTCCCGTGGGTGCTCACTCTCTCCGCCCTCCAACACACCACCAATAGCAGCAGCGGCAGCGGCGGCGGCGGGAGCAGCGGCAGTGGCAGCAGCAGTGTGACGGTTGACCATGTTCCGGGAGGTGCAAGCTCTGCAGATGGCGGCAGTGCTGCTGGGGCTGGGGATGCTGCTGCTACCACTGCTGCTGCTGCAGCTGGTGCATCTACTGCTGCTGCTGCTGCTGTTGCTGCTGGTGGTGCTGCTGGTGGAGTGACGGTGGTCCCATGGGCGCCATCCTTACCAGACGCAGTGCTGCTGCCGTTCACCATCTACGATGATGCGGCTGATGCGGCTCTTCGGTCGCTCAGAAGGCAGTTCCTCTTTGATGAGGTGGAGGCGGAGGTGAGGACGACAGGGAAGGGCCAATTCAGGTATGTATGCGTATATACAGGCGTACGTACATACAGTACTAATACGGCTCTGCGGTCGCTCAAGAGGCAGTTCCTCTTTGACGAGGTGGAGGCGGAGGTGAGGACGACAGGGAAGAGCCAATTCAGGTATGTATGCGTATATACAGGCGTACGTACATACAGTACTAATACGGCTCTGCGGTCGCTCAAGAGGCAGTTCCTCTTTGATGAGGTGGAGGCGGAGTTAAGAATGAAAGGGACGGGGTGATCAGGGAGGGCAGCGACTCAAAATGTTGTTCTTTCCTGTGCGTCCCATGCTCTCTCCTTCTCACCCCCATCTTGAAGCTACTACCACCACCCATACCATTCCACATGCCCCATCCCGTCCCGCATGCCCCACCCATTTCACCAGGTGGGCATGGCATTCGACCAGCTGCTGGAGAAGCTGTCTCTCTCCATCTTCACTCACTTCAAGCAGTGTGCCGCCAGGTAAGGCAGTCAGTCAGGGGTGCCAGGCGACTTATGGGCTGAAGGGAGTGGGCACGGCCTTGATTGAAACCAAGGCCAGCAAAGCTGAGGACGTGGCCTTGGTTAAGAATTCTGAAAAATTGCTCCAATAAAGCCATGCCAACACGTTTTTTTTTTTTTTTTTTTTTTGCTGACTTCAACATATTCATGCCACCATGGTGTTTTCCTTTTCCCCTCCGCAGCAAGCTGCTGGACAAGTCCTTCGTGGCGGCAGCAGCAGCGCTGGGCGTGGGAGGGAGGTACAGCGTGACTCCATGCACCTACAGCGGGCTGCTGCGCCAGACGCACCTGCAGGTGGGTGGGGTGGCTTTTGAGGCGTCTCAAGGGTCAAATACAAGGGGCTGTTTTGCCAGACGCGCCTGCCTGCAGACAGGTATTTCCGCCTTGCATTCAAGGGAGAGTTGGCCTCGATTTGGCGCGAGTCGGGCCGGCCGGAGTTTGTTTAGTTTTAAAGGGAAACCAGCCCTACCAGGTTCGAGGGGGACCGGCCCAAGTTTGACATTTGCTTCTGCAACCGCTCTCAACTCCCTCCTGTCTCCCATTTGCCTCGAGCACGCCTCTTACTCGCTTGCACCCTCCACACTCTCCTGGACATCTCTCTCTCTCTTCTCTCCCCATTCGACTCCCTGCCTTGTCTCGCTGCACAGCTATTGGGTCGCACTGTGGACATGTGGAATCTGCTGACTCTCATGAATTGCCCATTCCCCCCGTCCCCCCAACCTCCTTGCGCCCTCTCCTCTCGCTCCTCTCCTCTTGCCCCTCCGCTCTCGCCCATTCTCCCATCGTTGCTCAGCTATTGGGCCGCACTGTGGACCTGCGGGATCTGCTGACCCAGCGACTCAACAAGCTGACGAGGCGCAACCTGGACTATATCCTCGCCCGCATGGAGGGGGCAGATCTCTGCCACATCATGGTGTGTGTGGGTGACACGTGGCTGACTGCTCATGGTTGTCTCTTGAGAGGTCCCAAGGGTCACATTACAACTTGTGGGCGGTTGTATGTGGTGTGCGTGTATTTGAGTCGACTCAGAAATCACCTCACGTGTGTGTGTTAGTTGCATGATCTGTGTGAGTCAGTGTGTTAGGGGGTTTAGGGTTGCACTCGCTCGCACCACGTTGCTCGCAACGAAGGTGAACGTGACCTGCAGAGACCTGTGAACGGGAAACCCTGCGGCAGAAACTTACAACCTCTCCTCGTTTTGCATGCCTTCTGCTTCCATCCATCCATCCACATCCTCTGGCTGCCATGCATCTTGAAGCGCCTTCAAACTTCGCGACCTCCCTGCTTCAAACGCCATCCTCTGCTTCCTTGCTTCCCTCCAACGCCTGCAGGAAACACATCACCTGGTGGACGTCCTACGTGGCGCGCACCGATTGGTCGCAGAGCACTGCCCTGCCATCGACTCCTTTGAAGCCATTTTCACCGAGGCCACCCACGCCACCTCCCTCTCCTCTCTCTCCTCCCGCACCGCCTCTTATGTGAGTGAGGGCGTGAGTGGGATTTGGTTTGGCCCCTTTGAGCACCATCATCGCCTTTCAACCCTTCTCTTCTATAGCCTAGCCCCTGACCATGAACTGCTTTGAAGCCATTTTCACTGAAGCCACCACGCCACCTCCCTCTCCTCCCTCTCCTCCCGCACCGCCTCTTATGTGAGTGGTGGGGTTTGATTCAGCCCCTTCCTCAAAGCCATGTAGCCTGCCGCCAACTCCTATGAACCAGTTGCAATGGCCAAGTCTCCTCACGCCACCACCTCCCTCTCCTCACATGTTCCTCGTAGTTTTTTCTCCCCCCTCTCCTGCCACACTGCCTCCTGTGTGAGTGGCTTTCGATCAGCCAGTGCGACTCCCTCTCCTCCCTCTTTTCCCTCCCGTCCCTCTCCTTCCACTCCGCATGCTCCTCTCCCCAGGGGTGCAGAGAGGTGGAGCAGGATTCGCTGCCCAACTTCCTCTGGACCACCGCCACCCATTGCTTTGTCTGACCAACAGATGATACGCTCTAATTCTCTCGCACTCGGTTCCCAGGTGTGCAGAGAGGTGGAGCAGGACGTGCTGCCCAACTTCCTCTGGAATGCCACTACCCGCCGCTTTGTGCGAGTGGCCTCCCCTCCGCTGCAGCAGCGCCCCGTGCGGAGACCTGCGGTTCACCCGCCTGCTCCAGAGGAATATGAGGCGTTCATGTTTGGAAGCAAGGTGCGGTGACAGTCATGCCATGGGGAGGGCGTGATGAAATGGGGAGGGGTTGATGTCACGGTGCTGCTCCATTGGAGGTGTTGTGCATGTGTGTGTAAATTGTTAAATGGATTCGCGGTGAACATCGCTCCGGGGCGTGCTGCGCACCAGGTCAGCGCATCGCTCTCCTGCATGCACTCGCTGTTCCTAGTCACGTGTATGAAGAAGTGTTTTGTTTTGAGACGTCTCAAAACACATCGCTCTCCTGCATGCACTCGCGGTTCCTAGTCCAGCCAGCCCCACTGTACGCCTGGTGTGGGACACTGTGGGTGGTGGGCCTGAGTCGACTCAACAACCCTGTACACACCCCCCTCCTCACCCACACCAGGATCTGAACGAGGCCTATTCGCACATTTGCCTGCTGCACTCGCAGTTCCTGGGGCAGCCGCATGTAGATGCCGTGGTGGCGCTGCTGGGCCCGCACTCCCATTGTCTGTAAACGACCCCCTGGCCCCCCCACCCCACCCACACCAGGATCTGAACGAGGCCTATGCGCACATCTGTGTGCTGCACGTGCAGTTCCTGGGGCAGCCGCATGTAGATGCCGTGGTGGCGCTGCTGGGCCCGCACTCACTGCCCATGCTGCTGCAGTTCTGCCTCGATTCCCTTTCCCACAAGGTATGTGGTGCTGACTATAGGTTGCTCTCCGTGGATTGCGCACATCTGTGTGCTGCACGCGCAGTTCCTGGGGCAGCCGCACGTGCATGCTCTGGTGGCGCTGCTGGGCCCGCACTCCCTGCCCATGCTGCTGCAGTTCTGCCTTGACTCCCTCTCCCACAAGGTACGTGGCTCTGCGTACGGTTTGCTTGCAGCAGGGTGCTCACGTGTGCCCAAGAACCATAGGATACTCCCACGAGTATGCATGCAATCTCACTCACCCCTAGGGTCGCACTCCCTCCTAGTTGACTTTTGAGTCGACTCAAAAGTCAACTTGCTTGCAGCAGGGGGCTCACGTGTGCCGAAGAACCATAGGATACTCTCACGACTATGCATGCAATCTCACTCACCCCTAGGGTCGCACTCCCTCCAATTGCTGCTGCAGTTCTGCCTTAGCTCCCTCATCCCCAGGAATTGTGCGTGCGTGCCATGCATGTTGGCGTGCGTGCGTGCGTGTGTGTGCAATTACTGCTACGCTAGTTCTGCTACATGTACTGAATCCCTTCCCATGCTTAGTCCAGTTCTGCCTTGTCGCTCTCACCCGTAAGGCGTGTCGCTTGGGCTTTAGATTGCTGATCAACTTCTTGTGTTATCGACAAGCCTGATGTGCTTTGACTTGACTTGCGTTGACCTCTCGTTTCCGTCCCCTGTGTGTTGACTTTGACTCACGCTGCCTTTGACTTGCGTTGACTTTGACTTGCCTTCACCTTCCCACCTCGCAGGTCTCTCACCAGTTGTCACCTCTAGCTGCCCAGCTGCTGCCCCTCTTGCCTGTTGAAGACCTTCAGACTCCCTTTGAATCTGGCCTTCCAGGTAGGTTGACTTGCTTTGACCTTGCCCTCCAAGGTTGGTTGACTCGCATTGACCTTTCCCTTCACTCTTCGCACCCTCCTCTCCATTTGCTTTTCACGTAAACCCAGCACCTTAAACTCTAAAACTCCTTTCCCCCTATCTCGAATCTATCACCAGCCTGTGTGGAGCGCATATCAGGTGCAGCATCGGCACTGCAGCGCAGAGCAGCAGCGGCAGTGGAGGGGGTGATGGCTGCGCTGAGGGACGTGGGATCACTGCTGGGGCTGCTGGCGCTGCTCGACGTTTCCATTGTAAGGGGGGGGGGATCGGGTTAGGGAATGGTGAATGGTGATTACATTGTGTGAGGAGTGGAATGGAGTGGAGTGGTGATTACATTGTGTGAGGAGTGGAATGGAGTGGAGTGGTGATTACATTGTGTGAGGAGTGGAATGGAGTGGAGTGGTGATTACATTTCGTGGCCAGTGGGGGGAGTGATTTGCTCCACTGCAAGACGTGGGGTCGCTGCTGGGGCTGCTGGCACTGCTCGACGTTTCCATTGTAAGGTGCAGGTTGGGGAATTGGGCATCGCATTATGAGCGGACGGTGTGGTGAATGCATTGTGCGGAGCGGAGTGGGATGTGTGTTTCCTTCTGGGGTTGTTGGTTTGGTGCTGCTCGGCATCGTCTCCATTGTAAGGCGCGGCGCGTAATGGTTGATTGAGGTCGGGGAATGGTGAATGCATCGTGTGAGAAGTGGAATGAAAGGTGATTGATTACATGGTGTGAGCAGTGCAGCGGTTGACTGCTGCACTTCCCCAGACTCAACCCGTCCAGCCAGCCTTCCCTTGTGCCCTCAATTCCTTTTACCCTCCCTCTCCTCTCCTCCTCTCCCCACCCTTCTAACCCTGTCAGGCGCATGCATCCACACTGCAGTTCATCCAGGCAGCGCCATGGCTGGGCCTCATGCCTTGCCCCAACCACAGCCATCTGCTGCAACTTCTCAGAATCAACCCCTCTGACCTGCTCTGTCGCCCCTCCTGCCCCTATTCCCTTCTCTTTTCCCACCATTCCCCAACCCTCCCCTCTTACTCCCCATGCCAGGCACATGCATCCACGCTGCAGTTCATCCAGGCAGCGCCCTGGCTGGGCCTCGTGCCCTCCCCCAGCCACAACCGTCTGCTGCAGCTGCTCAGAATCAACCCCTCCGACCTGCCACTCCTCCTGCCTCCATTCCCTTCTCTTCTCCCCAACCCTCTCTCTTCTCCCCCCTCCTCCCCTACCCCCGCCCCTTTCTCCCCCCATCAGGCACATGCATCCACGCTGCAGTTCATCCAGGCAGCGCCCTGGCTGGGCCTCGTGCCCTCCCCCAGCCACAACCGTCTGCTGCAGCTGCTCAGAATCAACCCCTCCGACCTGCCCTTGTTCCCTCCTCGTCCCCACCCGGCCCCCCTCCTTCCCCATGTCAGGCACACGCCTCCACCCTGCAGTTCATCCAAGCAGCGCCATGGCTGGGACTCGTGCCCTCCCCCAGCCACAACCGTCTGCTGCAGCTGCTCCGAGTCAACCCCTCCGACCTGCCCCCCCACGAGGCCTTCACCCCCAGGGGCCTCCGCCACCGCTCCCCCCGCCACCGCCCCTCCCACGAGTCACGCCGAGAAACAAGGGGCGGTGGAACAACAAGGGCGGAAGCAGCCCGGGCATCTGTGGCCCGTGGTGGTGCTGCTGCTGCTTTTGAGGCGCCTCAAAAATCGGAAGCAGCCCAGGCATCTGTGGCCCGTGGTGGAGCTGCTGCTGATGCTGATGCTGATGATGATTGCCGTGGTGATGTTGCGGTGCGGAGCGGTGCAGATGGGCAGAGGATGGATCAGGGCAGAGATGGTTTTTTAGCTGCCCGAGGGGGTGAAGGGGAAGCCGAGGACGGGCAGATTGGTTTTCCGCCGGAAATTTCCCTCCCTCCTGCTGCAGCTGCAGCTGGAGCTGCTGCTGCTGATGGTCCTGCTGGTCCTGATGCTGCTGCAGCTGCGTCTGCAGCTGATGGTTCGTTGTTGGAGCGTCACAATCAATCGCATGGATCCCGTCGCTCAGACCCGCACGATAAACCCTGGCACGGCGATCCACCCCAGGCGGGCCCTCCTCCTCCGCCTGCCCCCCCAGCGGCACCTCTCACGGACCTGCTGCAGAGGGTGTGTGCGTCCGTGCCCGTGGTGCGCTCCTCCATGCTCGGCATGCTGCAGGCTGCTCAGGTCGCAGGTGAGACGGTCACAAGGTTTCTGGTTTGAGACTAAGAGGGGGTGTGCAGTGCGGTGTGGTGTGGTGCACCTCTCCCTCCCTCTCCGTGCCGGTGGTGCGCTCCTCCGTGCTCGGCATGCTGCAGGCTGTGCAGTGCAGCACCCTTCCTCCCTCTCCGTGCCAGCGGTGCGCTCCTCCTCCATTCCATGCTCTGCTCTGCTCTGCATGCTGCAGGCTGCACAGGTGGCAGGTGAGATGATGACAGGTGTTAGGATCTGAAGGGTTCCTCTCCGGTTCTAGGGTTTCGGGTTTTTGAGGCGTCTCAAAGATTGTCTCTTTCAGAGGGTGTGTGCCTGCATGCGTGTGGTGCACTGCTCATGTTGACTTTTGAGTCGACTCAAAAGTCAACTTGGTTTTTGAGGCGTCTCAAAGATTGTTTGTTCCAGAGGGTGTGTGCCTGCATGCCTGTGGTGCACTGCTCACGCTCGGCATGCTGCAGGCCGCCCAGGTGGCAGGTGAGATGATGAGAGGGATGCTGCTGCGTTATGGGGTTCAGTTCAGGGTTCAGGGTTCAGGGTTCAGGATATTCAGAGAAAGACTGTTGCATCGCCCATGCCCTCTCCACCCTCTCACTCCCTTCGGTCTTCTTCTTCTCCCTTCCATTCCCCCTTTCCTGTTCTCTCCCGCGTTTCATTTATCTTCCCCTCCCCCACTACCCATCCAGAGCCCATTTACTGGGGGCGTGCAGGCAGAGACTCAATCCGCCCACGCCCTTCCCACCTTGCCCTGATCATCATCATCATCGCCCCTCTCGTTCTGTTCTCACACCGTCCGCTTCCCCATCCAATTCCCCATCCACTTCCCCATCCAATTCCCCATCCACTTCCCCATCCACTTCCCCATCCACTTCCCCGTCCACTTCCCCATCCACTTCCCCATCCACTTCCCCATCCACTTCCCCATCCACTTCCCCATCCACTTCCCCATCCACTTCCCCATCCACTTCCCCATCCACTTCCCCATCCACTTCCCCATCCACTTCCCCATCCACTTCCCCATCCACTTCCCCATCCACTTCCCCATCCACTTCCCCATCCACTTCCCCATCCACTTCCCCATCCACTTCCCCATCCACTTCCCCATCCACTTCCCCATCCACTTCCCCATCCACTTCCCCATCCACTTCCCCATCCACTTCCCCATCCACTTCCCCATCCACTTCCCCGTCCACTTCCCCATCCACTTCCCCATCCACTTCCCCGTCCACTTCCCATTCCTTTTCCCCTTCTTCCCCTTCCTCTTCCCCCTCTTCCCCTCCTTCGCCACCCCTCCCCATCCAGAGGCCATCTATTGGGGCAGCGTGCAGGCAGACAGCCTCTTCGCCCACGCCCTCTCAATCCTCTCCACCGCTCTCCACCCCTTCCTACCGGTGCTCGCCCCACCGGTGGAGCCTTGGGCGGCCAAGAGGAGAAGCCAGAGAGAGTTTCATCACCTGCACTCGCTGCTTCTCGCTGTAAACCCTTTCTTGTAGTTGACCCGCGGGTTGATCCTTGGGTGTTTAGCGGGGGGGGGGGGGGGGGGGGGGAGGGGAGGGGGGAACCCAAGGGAGTTATTTGCACTTGCTGCTACTTGCTGTAAGCTCCTCTGCTTTCGTCTGGCCACGTTTAGGGTTTAAGGTGGCACGTCTACCTGAACTCGAATTCCTGACTGGAACCCTAAATCTCAAAGTCCAGTTTCTTTTAGAACCCTAAACCCTTGTAGCACGGATTGGTTGTGGCAGAGCGAGTGGGAGGTGACTGCCTGTTCTTGCCTCTCGCTCGCGCCCCTCTCTGATATTTGCTCTGAGTATCGATTCATGCAGTTTCTGCAGATAGTGCTTCGCGTTTCCTGCTGTTTGTCCTTGATTGTTCTCGATCGCATTTGAACGTACTTGTTCGATTCTTGCACGTCTCAGAGGTTCCTGATAGCTCTCATTCCTGATAGCTCCATGGCACGCCTCTGCCTTTCTTCACCTTGCCGTCTGCCTTTGTGGTTCCTTCCCCTCCTGCCCGCCCCTTTCTTGCAGCTCATTTGCCAAAGACAAGCAACGTCTGCCACAGCAGCAACAGTTGCAACAGCAGCAGCATCAACATCAACACCAGCAGCAGCAGCAGCAGCAGCAGCAGCAGCTATGGGATCTGCACTGGGAACTCATGCGGACACCCACGCCAGAACACCAGCAGCAGCGGGAGCGGGAGCGGCAGCAGCAATGGGACCTGCACTGGGAACACACGCAGACACCCACGCCAGAACACCAGACACCATCATCACCACTCCCTCCTCTCCTTCTCCACATTCCTCAGCTTACAACACTCCTGCCCATTCCCTCTCCTCCTCCTCCCCCTTCACTCCCCCAACTGCCCCTCTCACCACCACCCCTCAATCTCTCCCTATCACAGTCCCTCACTCAGGTCCCATCCCATCCTCCTCCCCAGCCAACCTTCCCGAACCTAGCTCGAAATCCGGCCCTCTAACTCGATCTTCCAGGCCTGGAGGCTCAGCAGCTGGCCATACCGAACGTGCAGGCTCGGCAGCCACGTTTCCCAGGGCAGGAGGACTGGGGGGAGGGAGGGGGAATGAAGAGGTGGATGCAGTGGTGTGGGGGGGAAGTGTGGTGGTTCATCTGTTGGGGCAGCAGAGGCGGTTTGAGCTAGATGATCCGTGCTGGCATGCTGTGGCTGTGAGCGATTATGAGAGTATTTGCAGTGGTGGTGAGGGGTTAGGTGGTTTCGGTGCTGGTGCTGATGGGGGAGGAAGAGGGGGAGGGGGAGGGGTGATGCTTGGGGTGATAGGGAGTGCGGAGAGGCAGCGGGGCAAGAAGGCAGCGGCAGCAGCGGCAGCAAGAGAGGCCGACGCACGGCTTCAGCAACTTAAAGCCCAGGTTAGGAGTACAAACTGTGTTGCCCTAGGGCATGTCCCAAATCTCTAAATTGATAAAAGCAGGCCTGGCAACCCCAAAACTCTCTGTATTCACCTCCATTCGCTCCCCGCTCCCTGCCTGCCACTCCCTTCCCGTGTGCGCTCTCTCCCTGCCTACCATACCCTTCTGTACGCTCTCTCACCTTTCCAACCTACCTGCCCACTCAGGGACATTAGAGCCAACTCAATCGTTTTCCTAGGCGCTCAAAAATCCTCTCACCTTTCCTATCTACCTTCCCACTCAGGAACATCAGAGCCAACTTAAGTGTCTCTCTCCCCTCCCTGCCTTCTCCTTCCTACCTTCCCACGCAGGATGCGAGGCACATGTGGCAACTTACCCTCTTTACTGCCACTCATTTCTTGTTCTACCCACCCCCATACACCCTCTCCCCACCCTGCCTACTCCTCCCTTTGCGCACAGACAACAATCTTCGTGGAGAGCACGAGGTAACTGCGCCAAGAACATCGTTTCTGCCAGCCGGACTCCCTTCTCACATATAGACCTCCCTGCACTCTCTCCCCTCCCTGACCTCCTTTGTGGAGAGTGCAAGGCGACTACAGCAGGGCAGCCAGCAGGCGTTCACCCTGTTTCCTCTCTCAGCTACCTTTTAACTGCACTCTCTCCCCCTCCTCCCTGCCTTCTCCCTGCCTACTCCTCACTTTCCTCGCAGGCAACGGCCTTTGTGGAGAATGCAAGGGAATTGCAGCAGGTCAGCCTGCAGGCATATACCCTCTTTGCTGTCTGAACTACACGTCCATACCCTCTTGCTCTCTCTGACTACTCCTCCCTGCCCACATAGGCAACCGACTTTGTGGAGAGTGCAAGGAGATTGCAGCAGGTCAGCCTGCAGGCGTCCACCCTCTCTGCTCTCTGAGCTTCCTTCTACCTCTATAAACCTCCATACCCTCTCTAATGTCTCTGCATACTCCTCCCTGCCCACACAGGCAACGGCCTTTGTGGAGTGCGCAAGGCGACTGCAGCAGGTCAGCCAGCAGGCATTCATCCTGTTTGCCGCCCAGGCGCCTCTGCCGCCCAAAGCTGCCAGGGTGTGTGGCGCTGATGGCCTTCCCACTGCCACCTGCTTCCCCATGCCGCCCTTTGCCCCGTCTGCCCCTCCTACTGTGGACTAGTTAAAAGGCTCTCTATAGCAACTGGACTTGAGCTTTTAAAGCTTACGGATGTTTCACTGGCATAGACACCTGCTTGATGTGCCCTTCAGGTCATTGTTGTTACTGCTGGCATGGTAACGGAGGTTTACAGCACTGCTCTGGTATGGTGGGTGTGTGAAGTGGTGAATATGCGTGCCTGAGCAGAAGCAAGGGGGTTTGCATCAGATTTGCAGCTAGGCTGATGTCCAGTACGAGATGGTTTAACTGGCATCTAACACCAACTACCTCACTGTATGGAAAGTGCATGACGGGCTGCAAGAATAAATTATGAGCTAAATTTTGCTGAAGCTGCATATGGAAAACTGAATATGGTAAGTTCTGCAAGAAGGGCTAAATCAGTTTGAAAATTATCACTCAAACCGAAAACAAGCTCATGCTAGGATATTCACGTCTCTGAGCTCCGTTTCGAGCCGAATACCTGTCCGACGAGGCGGCTCTCGATATCGCGGATATTCAGCAACTTCTCCTCCCCCTAACCCTGCCTCGTTTCGACAACGACATGCCTGTTGTTCGCTAAACCTCTTCGTCACCTCCTCTGCTGTGCCAAATCTCTTGATGTTCCTTCGTCGAATCTTTTTTGTTACCCTTCGCCGCCTCCGGGTTTTCTGCCTGCGGGGTTTCGTCGCTCCGTGTGCGCTGCTAACGAACCTCGCCACCGCGCCTGTAACTGACGAAACACTTCTTGAGATCCATCACTGTGGACCACGGCGCATCAGCCACAAGCGACAAAACTGTGTCAGCGGTAATCAACTTGGCAGTAATCAGGAGGAGCGGAGCGGAATCTCCCAAGGTTGCGTTGCAAAACAGTTTTGTCGCAGAGAAACAGAGGCCAGAGAAGGACTGACGGATTCCGTCTGCACTTCAACCCAAACTCCCCACGTCCGTCAACTTTTGACAGTTTCGTTTTCTCCAGGCAGCTTATACACGGGCATTGTTCCGCAATCAGATTCTTGGGATTATCCAGTCCCGCGCACAGCGTTCCGTAACAGCATTGCGGCTCGCGAAGCGCCACGCGTCGGTGGAAAGCTGTATTCTTCCACGTCGAATCAGCTGGTGGCTTTCGTTTTTGTTATCGGCCTGCAAGAGACGCTGCTTGGAGTCTCGTGTGGTCGCGATTCGGCGTTTTTGAGGCAAAGTGATCGCACCAGGTGGGGTAGTGGGGGAGGGAATGCAATGAGTCGCCTCAAAACTGTCACACGAGTTTCCAGACGTCTTAAAGCTTGAGAGGATACAAAACGCGATTCGGATCCCACCTGGTGCTAAGTAGGTCTCGAACCTTCAGTATCCTGAGACTCGCTTCAGAAGCACCTGCTGCTTATAGTAGGACCCGGGAGCGAGCGAATGCGATACAAAGGGCGGTACGATACAAGAAATGGATTTCCTGTTGACTCTAGTCAAACGAGTCGGAATGCCGTTTGAACGGATCCAAACCGGACGGAATGCAGGTAGCGTAGCGTGTATAAGGTAACGTGCGAAGTATGACGAAGTCTGCACTTACGACGTTAACGAACGGAGGAAGAGGCACGGGACGGTTTTTGAGCCTCCTAAAAAATGTGAGGCATGTTGGAGCTGCGATCAAGACTGCGATCAACTCCGTTAAACGGAATGCGTAAGGCAGAGGAGGGAAGGGTCGTGCAGCGCGCCGATGGAAGGCCCTTTGAGGCGCCTCAAAAGTCGCTTGTGCCGCTGGCAGTGGGGAGGGCCGCTGATTGAAAGCACATCACATCTTCTCGCCTCCTTCCTTCCATTCCCCACCAGATGTGGCCGCTAGTGCCAGTAGCGTTGGTGGCAGCAGGGGGAGCGTGGGCGTACTGGGCACAGACCAGCTCTCCCAGAGAGTGGGAGGAGGGGCGGCGCAAGGGCATCGTGCCTTTTTTGAAACCGAAATCATATTATGTGGGTGATGACGTGTGCATGGAGTGGTGGTGACGTGTGCATGGAGTGGTGATGACGTGTGCATGGAGTGGTGGTGAAGTCTGCATGCATGGCTGCTGACGTCTGCATGCATGGGTGCTGACGTCTGCATGCATGGGTGCTGACGTCTGCATGCATGGGTGCTGACGTCTGCATGCATGGGTGGTGACATCTGCATGCGTGGGTGCTGACGTGTGCACACGTACATTGCTTGCCCCTCTGAAAGCCTGTGCTTCTTGCTGCGTTCATGTTTGTGGCTGCGGAGCCGTTCGCAGAGCCATTGTGCTGTTCTTAAATCCTGTGGAACAGATTTCTGAGTCGACTCAGAAATTGCCTCATCACACGTGGAGTGGCAGGCAGGCAGGGCCATTGTTCTGCTCTTAAATCCTCTTGCTGACTTGAAGGCCTCGTGCTGCTCTTAAAGCCCCATCCGTACTGTGTGGGTGGTGGCATTTGCAACCCAGTATGGTTGTTAGAACCTGGTTTGTGTTAGACCCAGTTCGTCTGTTGAACCCAGTTCGTCTGTTGAACCCACTTCGTCTGTTGAACCCAGTTCGTCTGTTGAACCCAGTGCGTCTCTTTAAACCCAGTTCATCTGTTAAACCGAGTTTATCTGTTTAAAACCAGTCCGTTTGTTAAACCCAGTTCATCTGTTAAACCGAGTTTACCTGTTTAAAACTAGTCCGTCTGTTGAACCCAGTGCGTCTCTTTAAACCCAGTTCATCTGTTAAACCGAGTTTATCTGTTTAAAACCAGTCCGTTTGTTAAACCCAGTTCATCTGTTAAACCGAGTTTACCTGTTTAAAACTAGTCCGTCTGTTGAACCCAGTTCGTCTGTCAAACCCCATTTGTTAAGAGACGACGACATGAAACATAAGCTGTGAAGCCCGCAGCGTTCAACTGGTCCTTGAGTTGTAGCAAGAACGAGTCTGCAGTGTGTAATTGGCTCTTGAGTTGTCACAAAAACAAGGCTGCAGTGTTGAACTGGTCTCTATGTGGGTAGGTACTGCGGCGCTGTGCCCGACCAACTAGCTCATGCTGCGCTG